TCCTAATATTAAATCTTGTAGGCAGCATAATTTTGTTCTTCTTTTAAAAATCTGACAATCTTTGACTCTTAATTGAGGGTGTTTAGATCTTTTCCTATTTATTCTTATCCCATCTGCTCCTGCTTCTTTCTTCCTCTTTTTCTGACTTTTTTAGAATTATTTTTCATGACTTCATTTTATCTCCTATATTGTTTTTTTAGCCATTCTTTGTTATTTCAGTGGTTACATCAGCATCATAAGCTATTTTCAAGTAATATACCACTTCATATATAACACAAGAAACTTGCAACAGTACCACAGTAGAAACATCCATTTCTACTCCCTTGGCTTTTGTGCTACTGTTGTCATACTTTTTACTTTTACATGCTATAAACCCCACAATACATTTTCTTTAGTTATCTTTTTTGTTGTGGTAGAATATAGAAACATAAAATGTACCGTTTTAACCACTTTAAAGTGCACAATTTAGTGGCATCAAGTATATTCACACTGTTGTGCAACTGTGACCACTGTCCAGCTCTGGAAGTTAGTGATCAGTTCCCCTTTTTAAAAAATTGATGTGTACAACAGAAGATCTTTTATATTTATCAGTGTAGTTTGTGGTGGTCTTCAATCCTCTGTGTAGATACACATTTGTAACTAGTGTTATAGTCCTCTCCTCGAAGGACTTCCTTTAAATGACTTCTAGTACAGGTGTGCTAATGAACTTTTCCAGCACTCCTCCATGTGAAGAATTTCACTTTTATTCTTGAAAGATCTTTTTGCTGGGTACAGAATTCTAAGTTGTTTTTCTTTTCCTTCAATACCTAAAGATATACTTCCATAGTCTTTTTGATCACATGGTTTTTTTGTTTTTGACCACACCATGTGGCATGTGGGATCTTAGTTCACTAACCAGGAGTCAAACCCATGCCCTCTGCACTTGGAAATGTGGAGTCTTATCCACTGGAGTGCCAGGGAAGTCCCAATTGCATGGTTTTTAATAAGAAATCTCATCAAACCATTGGGAGTTTCTGACAGGTTTCTTTTACTGATTTTAAATTTAATCCCACTGTTGCCACAGAACACTGTCTGCCATCTTTACCTGTGTTTCCCTGCACAAAAAAGCGTACTCTCTGGTTCCTTTTAAAAATACTTCTGCACTCATTTTTCTTCTCTCCTTTTGTGTTTTACTAAGCAGCAAGAGGAAAACAAGTGGCTCCTTGAAACTTTACTTGCAAATCTTGCACAAAGTTGATGAGATACACGCTGCTTTCCACATAACTGCAGATGACAGTGCCACTGAATTTTTGGCCACTAATGTTTTGGAACAGAGATCCTCATTCCTCCAGTTCCCCACAGCAGCTTCTTTGCTTCTTTTTAAGCACTCGCTGGCAGTGTTTTCAAAGTCTGGATTTCCACTAATAATCTGTTGAAGGCAATCTGGGCATTCTCTAACATGGTCCTCAAAATCCTTCCAGCTGCTGCCCACTTTTTAGTTTCAAAGCCACTCTCACATTTTTGAGTATTTATTACAATAGCATCCTACTCTTGGTACCAAAATCTGTATTATTTATCCATTGCTTTGTAACCATGGGAAACCATGACCACTATCCATCTCCAGAGCTTAGCAATCAATTCTCTTAAAAAAAAAAAAAAACAAAAAAAGAGAGATATAGATAGTAAGAAAATTGTAATTTTGTGGCTTTGTGTATCAGAAATGCAGGAGCTTAGCAGGGTCCTCTGGGTTAGGGTCCTCACAGGATACAACAATGGGGTAGGTTAGGGCTGCAATCATCTCAGGCTCAACCAAAGGAGGATCTGTTTACAACCTCACTTCTGTGAGTGCTGGCAGGATCCAGTCCACTGAGGGCCATAGAACTGAGGCTCCCTCCATTCTTTGCCACGTGGGCCTCTCCACTGGGCAACTTACCGTGTCAGAGCAAGCAAATGAGAAATGTCAGAGAATATGGACTTTTGTCATATTCCATCAAATGTCAGAGAATAAAGACTTTTCATTATGAGTTGTATTTTCCCCCTGGCTGTTTGCTTGTCTGGCAATTTCTGATTGGATGTCAGACACTGACATGATGTGTCAGTTGCTCAGTCATATCCAGCTCTTTGTGATCCCATGGACTGTGGCCTGCCAGGATGGAGGCATCCATGGCATTTCCCGGACAAGAATACTGGAGTAGGTTGCCATTTCCTTCTCCAGGGGATCTTCCCAATCCAGGTGTCAAACCCAGGTCTCCTACATTGCAGGCAGACTCTACTGTCTGAGCCAAAGTTTTACCTTATTGGTTGCTAGCTATTTTCATACTATAATAGGTAGCTTTGCTCTGGAATGTGGTAAGTTACTTGGGAATAGTTGGATTCTTCTGGGTTTTGCTTTCAAAACCTCATTAGAACTCATGCAGCATTAGTTTAGGTCTAACTTTCACAATATTGAAGCAAAACCTTGTTGAATACTCTACCAGATGCCCTGTGAGATGAGGAATTTCATCCAGGCTGGTGGGAACAGGAATAGTCCAGACCCTGGATAAGCTCTCCCTAGTCCTTTCAGGCGTTTCCTTCCCTAGCCTTGGGTAGCTTCTTCATATGCATGTGCTTCCTGATGCTCAGTGGAAGACTCAAGGGCCCCTAAGCATATTCAGTACTTCTTTGTGCAGCTCTCCTATTTGGTACTTTGCCCTGTAAATTCCACCTGTGGTGGGGTGTAAGGGCTGGTTCAGGAAAAAGGCAGCAGGAAGGGATAACAGGGTAAATGGTTGCCAGTGAATCATTCATTTACAACTTCCCTCAAGGTGTAAGCAGGCAGAGTTACTGTTCTATTTAAGTCCATAAACTTTGAAAAGAGTCCAATTCATCACTGCCTAACTACATATCAGATATCAGGGTACCGATGAAACTCAAACAGGATACCAGTGTAAAAACCAAAAATGAAAAAGAAAAAAAGCGGGCACAGAGGACACAGCACAGTAGAGGAAACAGGGGTAGGAGCAGGAGTTAGGCTTCCTGGAGACAACATCCCAACTCACTTTTAGAGAATAAATGGGAATTTGTTACATGGTGCGAACTAATCCAGACTTAGCAAGGAGAGATTTTACTTGAAAAGATTACTGCAGAGCAGAGAACAGCTATTTCAACAGGGAGAACACACTGACCGTAAGATCAGCAAGCATCTCAAGAGTTACACAAAGTTTTTCTTTTACAGGAGGGTGGAAACAAGGAGAGTGGGGACCTCCCTGGCAGTCCAGTGGTTACTATCAGCCTTCCAATGCAGGGGAACTAAGATCGCACGTGCCTTGGGGCAAATGAGCCTGTGTGCACCAACTAGAGAAGCCCCCAAGCACCGTAACTTGAGAAAAGCCTGTGCACAACAAAGACCCACCGCAGCCAAACCAGAGGAGGTGAGGAAGTGGGATGAACAGCAGTGGCGTGGTCAGGTGGTGGATCACACACCGTTTTCCCAAGTCCAGCCTGCTCTCAGGAGGGGCTGTAAGCTGAGGGCGGGCCTGTGGGAAGGACAGAATCTTAACCAAGATTTGGTTAGGAAGCATTTTGTTCCAGTTGATCAGTGGGAACAAGTAATTCAGCTAGTCACAGGAGGCAAAGAATGGCAGGTCTGTGTTTGGCCTCATCACTGGGAAATGAGGAGAGTACCCTTGAGTCTTAAGACATGTGGGGAAAAATGGTTCTTTGTAGTAAGCTGTTTTCCAGAACACAAAAGATTGGGTGTTCCTTTAACATGCTGTCTCTGTCTTCCAGGATCACAGAGCTTGGGTAAAACTTGACATCACCCATGGATACAAAAGAACAAGAAAACAGTAAGCAACAAGGACAGAAATGAAAATACAAGTGTTTGCCATTGCTTGAGCATCTCAAGCATAAAGGTGTGACAGGATATGAGAATCTAGAAATAATACTGGTTAAAGTCCAGCCTGAGACAGCTGGGAGCCACCCACTGTGCGAGTGACGGGCTGGTCTGCGGCCTCTGCACAGATATGCTTGATCACAGGTCTGGCTCACTGGTCCTGAAGGTCTGGCTGCTCAGGGCCATCTGCAGGGTTTGAATGGACAAAGCAGCTGGCTCTCTGTGGGTCACCACCAACTGCCGGCCAGACTGTAACAGTGTGTTTGTCCTGAAAGGTCAGCTCAGAGAAGTGGAATTCAGGGAAACTGGCTCTTGCTTAAAAGCACTCTTGATGAAATGAATGTGGCCTTCTCCCCAACAAGGCACTGACAAATGGAAACGCTGCTGCCAAGCGGCAAGAGGTAGGCAGGACTCTTGGGAAGCCTTAGTCATACAGAATGAGCCTCCTTAAAACACTGCAACACACTCTTCAGGACCTTGTGCATGCCTGTCTGTCTTCTATGGTATGAAAGAACACCTTTTCTTTCATACTAGGAATAAGAGGAAAAAAGCCCAGAGACATTTTTCAGAATAAAGGAACCAGCCATTAAAGATCTAAGGGTCATGTTGATGTATGGCAAAACCCATCACAATATTATAAAGGAATTATCTAATTATCTTCCAATTAAATTAATTAATTAAAAAAAAGATCCAAGGGTACTAAAGTGCTATTGGAAGAGGAATCCAGCCTTCCAGCAACATCAACAATGTATCCTGAGGGAGAAATAAGAGATCATTCTCTCAGAGAAGATCAACCACCAGGATCTGTGTGCACTGTGGATCCGAAAGGAGGTGATGGCCTTCAGGTGACTAGAGGGCCTACAGCTGCGGGTACCTCCCGTGGAACACACGTGAGCCGACCAGGGGCCAGGCAGCACTGCAAACTGCTCAAAATCCTCGCTCGCTCCGGACCACCCTCCCCAGGTTCACAGGGCCTTCCCGGCAACACAGTACACTAACTGGCAAGTCTCTTCTCGTCTCTCTAGCGTTCCCTGCAGACTGGCCCCATCTTACTTCTCTGGGCCTGACACCAACTGAAACCCTGCTGGAGGTTTGTCATCTAGACATAACTGATGGCAAGGCTTCATAAGAACATCTATAATGAAGAGTGGTTAAACATCCCACTTCTGTTTATTCAGGAGAACATTAAGATAAATACACCTAAATATTACAAACTTTTTATATACAAGAATGAACACTCCCCCACAATTCTGAAAAGTGGTCTGAAAAAAAAAACCCAAAAAATATAGTCTCCCGATTCCCACTTTTAAACCCTGGATGACCCAGGAAGACAGAATCAATCTCTTGATGCATTTTCTTCAATGCAGTTAACAGATACTCCAATCTAGATTGGTTTGGCCAATGCTATTGGAAAGAACATGGATGTAGAAAGAAAATGCTACGTTTAAAATCCTTTTCCAATGTTGGTGCTGGGCATCCAGCCTTCAGCTACATGACCCTGTGGGCGTCACTTCCTGAAGCGCTTGAAAAGCGGGTGCACATGCTTAGTGGAAGTCTTACTCCGGGATGAGTGGTACTCCATGTACACCGTGTCGTCAGCCCCAGACATGGAGCTCATCGTGCCAAAGCGCCGGGACACCTGCGGGGGAGCCGGCCCACTGTTAGTTTCCAAGGTGAAACACCCTCCCTTCCACATTTATAGTCATAGTAAGCTTTAAAATGTTTAAGTTTCATAGATTTATTATTTTTAAAATAAACATTTACTGACTACTTAGTATGTCTCGGGTATTACTCTAAGCAGCTTATACTTATTTGTTACATGTCTTAACTTACCGAATCCTCACAATCATCCTAATGCTCATTTTACAGAAGAGGAAACAAACACAGAGAAATGAGGTAACTCGTCCAAGAGCACACAGCTCTTCAGAGATGGGACGTGAACCCATGCTTCAGATTCCCTGTACCTAACCGTAATACCACACTGCCTCTCTTAATGGCAATTTCTAAACAGAATTTTAACAGTGAGGGCAGGAGTCCTTCAAATTTCCTGAGACCCTACCATAAGGCTTTGAATCAAGCAGAAACTCAGAAAGCCCCAGGCCTGAATCTTGGTTTTATGTCTCACTGAGTGGCCTTGGGCAAATACTGAATGTCTGTAACTCAATGAACTCACGTGTAAAATGGGGATAACCACATCTGCTTGACATATGTGGTGTGAACAGAAATCACACAGGACAAGGGTCTGACCCAGTGCGTGGCACACAACTCGCACCAGATTACAAGCAAAGGATGCAGACAGGTGCTGAAGCCACGCCTTCCGCAGCCTGACCTTAGGTGACCCATTGTGAAGCGGAATTGACTTGACACCACCTTCAGACAGAAACGGGAAGCTTCTCTGGGCACCCATGGAGGGTGCCCTGGAGAAGATCCAGCCCCCGACCGCTGGCTCTGGGGACAGGAAGGTCTCAGGTTGCAGGGCACACAGCACCTCTCCAAGTGACACAGCTTCCTTCTTCCCTTGTTCCACTCTCACTCACCTTTCAGCTCTACCACTAACTTAAGTTTCAAATGCACCTGGTTAAGCAGTACTTCCCTCCTTGGAAGGGCCAGATACGAATTCCTCATCGTGATACTTTCATTAGTTATACCATATTATATTTGCCTGGCACAACAACAGGCATTCGATAAGTATGTGCAGAATAATTGAAAAGTTGAATGCTTGCAGAGAACTCTAAATTTTTCAAAATATGTATTGAAACTACAATATGAGTTCTTTCTCAGACATGTCTTACAGGCTGGAAGGCTGTGTTCTTACTGAGGAGGAAGCCGGGGTGAGGTGACTTGCCCAAGGCCAAGAGGGGCAGCCCCAGGTCCGTCACACTCCTTCCCACAACCACCCTAGTGAGAGCCGGGGCTCCAACATCCAAATACTAACAAACACTTATGCCAGACTATTACGTGAGCACAGCAGGAGACAACTACACTCACCATGGGCTCAGACACGTAAAATAAGACACACACAGAAAGGCTAACAGGGATGACTTCTATTATTTCCTTCTCTACAATTTCCCATGCATTCCAAGTTTTAAAAAAACCACATACACACAGAACTGTGAAGCTGTATGTGTGTCTAAGACTCTGTCCTTCAGGAGAACTGACATCTGGAGCCTCACCTACTCACTCACCTGGCTGGATTTGGAGCCAAATTCTCCTGCCACCACCTCCTCCTCAGCATCCAGGTCAGTGGCCGCCAGGACCTTCTGTAGGAGCTGCTGTTGTTCCTCTTTCGTTGAAAATGCCAAGTCTTCCTCTTCCATGCCAGCAAGCTTGGTGATCACCTGTAGAGGGGAATCCTCTGGTTTCCTCTCCCTTGGCCCGATCCCACCTTCTCCTAGGCTCATCTGGTCTGGTCGCCTCCCTGCTCAGGCCCAGCGGAGAAGCTGCCTAGTAACAGAGCGCTCCTTTCTGGCAGTGCAGAGCCAGTCTCAGGAGCCGCCTCAATAAGGAGCTTATTTAGCCAAGGCCTGCAAGGCAGGAAAGGTTCAGCAAATTCTAGGGCATCTGCTCCCAACACATGGCACCTACATGACCACTTACAGAAGGTCTCCGGGATCCTGGCCACCTCCAAGCTGCCATTCTCATAGCTTCCCTGTCTCGCCCCAGGTAAAGGGAGGGACCAGGAACTGGAGGGGACAGCCTGTCGCCCTTCAAGAACGTGCTCAACCCCCAGGCCTGGCACCTGGGGCTCCCAGCAGGAGGGGCATGTACCAAAGACTGGGTATTTTCTCTAAAAGAGAAGGACAGCAGCAGGGTGGAGATTTGGTTTTCACTTCCTTGGGGGCAACTCACTACAAGGCCTACCTATCCCTGCAGAAAGCGAGGACTGATTACGTGAAAGGAACTTCTGCTCCTGCCTCTCTAATTTTCCCATAATTTTAAAAGAAAATTCCTACAAGGAAGGACCTGACTGAGCCCTCCAGGTGGCCACAGATCTGGAGTACAGATGTGGGACACTTCTGCCCTGGGCTCCTCCCCAGGGTCATGATTCTGGGAACCCTAACCCAGCTGTTCCCAGCGCGGTGAGGCACGCAAAGGCAGCTCCCGCCAACCCAGACCACCACGTGCTCAGCACTTTGTCAAGCTCACCTCTCAAAGAACCCAGAGCACTTCCTGATTCAGTGCTTCTCTTACCCTTATGACTCTCCTGGGAATCAGAAGGTATGAATGCTGTTATCACCACAAATGTTACACAGACAGACAAAAAGGTTACAGTGAAAATCCTTCAAAAAACTGTGCCAAGTGTCCTGAACTAGAATTCAGCATAAGTCTGAGAAGTGTCACTGCCTCGGACTGAAAGAGGAGGGTCGGACAACCCTGTCCTCTTGTCTAAGGTGATAAAGGGAACTCTGTTAGTTCCCTGATTAGTTCTACCCTAAAATAATTTGAAGAAGATACAATTTAAAGTAGATGGAGAGGCAGCCTACAGTCTTCCACAAGTCAGGAACCTGGGAACCTGGATGTTCTAAGATGTCCTTTCAGTCCCCTGCTTGCAGTACCCTCCACAAAAACAACAACAACAAAAAAACCCCGTTGGGATACTAAATCCTGGCATAAATTCACTATCTGTGTCAAGAGGAAGGAAAGCAAATGCTTTCACCAATGAAAGTCAGCCAAAGCTTCAGAGTTTCCCAAGTTATTAGAACACCAGATTTATATAGTACATGGATGGCTCCTGATGTTTGAGGCTCACGGAAGCCGAGGCTCACCAGATGACTAAGGACGGAGCTCTCCCAGCTACTGGAGGGAACGCCTGAGAAAGTAAACCCAAGGGGTTCACACTAACACAGTGGTGGCCACAGTTCCTTGGCATCTCAGGTTCTACTCGGTTAGCACATTTTTCCCACCAACATCTAATGGGATTTTTTTTTTTGCAAGATGACTATAAAAAGTTAACAAGCTGAAACTCCACATGTTGCTTGCTTCAAAGGCCCCGCTCCCTGAGAGGTTGGAAGCAGAAGAGGAGTCTGAGGTGGGGCCCCCAGTCCCCTAATATTCTGTGCCTGGCGGAGGCCTGTCCCACACTTGTGCTGACAGTGGCCTCCACTTCTCATGGAGGACTGGGTAGAAAAAAGCCTCGGTCCGACTCTGACCAGAGACCAAAATGGATACATACCTTGAAGCTGTAACCTTGATCCACCAAGAACCTCTGCCGCTTGGTTGAGTAAGCCATTTCCTGCGTGTCCTGGGACACCAGCGAGTAGAAGAAGGCATTGTATTCCTCTGCAACCATCCCTGGGGGGGGGGCGTGAAAAGGGTTGCCTTGGGCGTTTGGACTGCCGGGGCTGAGGGTTCCGTGGTTCAGGCGGTTTTTTTTGGTTGTTTTTTTTTGTTTTTTGCCGGAAACCGGCAAGTTTTTTTAAGGCATTTTTCTTTCATTAAAAAATTGTTTATTTAAAAAAATAAAGTGGCAAAAAAAAAAAGTAAGTCCTGCAGTGGGAGAGCACTATAGTCAGAGGGGTCACTGCCCTGACTTTGCACAAGGACTTCAACAAAATTAAAAACTTTGGTGCTTCAAAGGCCACCATTAAAAAAGTGAGAAAACAACTCATAGAATTGGGAAAAACATTTACAAAGCATACATCTGATAAGGGATTTGCACCTAAGGCCTAAAAAAACTATTACAACTAAATAATGAAAAGACAAACCAGTTATATACAGGAAAAAAGATCTGAACAGACATCTCCCCAAAGCAGATATACAAAGAAGATTCATGTGTCCACGAGCACATGGAAAGCTCACTATCTTAGTCGTCAGGGAAATGCAAGTCAGAACCATGACAAAATACTACCGAATACCACAGAATAGCGAGGATAAAAAAGGTGAGTACAGCTGTGGTCAGGGCTGCGGAGACACTGCAATCCTCACACACTGCTAGTGAGAATGTGGAATGCTGCAGCCACTTGGGTAAGAGCCTGGCAGTTTACTTAAGTGCAAAACACACAGTTACTACATGACCAACAATCCCACTCCAAGATACACCCAGGAGAATTAAAAACTTATGTCCATACAAAACTTGCACATGAATTTCATAACATAGCACTATTCTAAGTGCCAAAAAGTAGAAATAATCCAAATGCCCATGCTGCTAAGTCACTTCAGTCATGTCCGACTCTGTGCCACCCCATAGACGGCAGCCCACCAGCCTCCCCCGTCCCTGGGATTCTCCAGGCAAGAACACTGAAGTGGGCTGCCATTTCCTTCTCCAATGCGTGAAAGTGAAACGTGAACATGAAGTGGCTCAGTTGTGTCCGACTCTTCATGACCCCAAGGACTGCAGCCCCCCACACTCCTCCGTCCATGGGATTTTCCAGGCAAGAGTACTGGAGTGGGGTACCATTGCCTTCTCCCCAAATGTCCATAAATGGATTTTAAAAGTTCATACAATAGAATATTACTCAGCAATAAGCAAGAATGAGGTACTAATAGGTGCTGCAATATGGATAACCCTTCTGAAAATATTAAGCTGAAACTACTAAAAAAATAAAAGGCTCAGAGAAAAGATACTAACAGAATTATCACAGAAACAAGGTAACCTAAAAATCTGGTCCTGCAGGAAAATCTGAATATTTTTGCTTCACAGTTCAGTGTAAGTTAATTATTTGCATACTGCTTCTGAATTCAATTGTTCCTTTGTCTTCCAAGAGTGCAGAGATGCAAAGAAAAGGGCTAATTATCTTATAACAAATATTTTCTTTTGTCTTATTGAGATAAAATTGACAGTGCTATATACACGTAATGATATGACTTACATATATGGTGAAATGACTACCTCAATAACTTTAGTTCACATCCGTCATTTCACAGTAACACACATACAAAAAAAAAAAGGAAAAAAAATGGCTTTTTCCTTGTGATGAGAACTTTGAGAATGTACCCTTGAACAACTTCAAGTATAACATACAGCAGTGGAAACTATAGCTGTCATGTTGCACTTCACATCTCCAGTTCGTATTTACCTGACAGCTGAAAGTCCGTACCTTTCGAATACATTCATTCAAACCCCCCACTCCCAAATCCCCATTCTCTGGTGATCACAAATTTGATATCTTTTTCTCTAAGTTTGTTTTTTTGCAAACTCCAAATATAAGTGAAATCATACAGTATTTCTCTTCCTGTCTGACTTATTCCAACTAGCTTAACATTCTCCAGGTCCGTCCATGCTGTCACAGATGGCAGGATTTCCTTCTTTTTTATGGCTGATTATTATACTGGGTTGGCTAAAAGTTTCATTTCAGTTTTTCTGTAACATCTTACGGACAAATCTGAACGAACTTTTTGTCCAGCCCAATATATGGACACACATACATGCATGCACACCACATTTTCTTCATCCATCCATCTGCGGATGAACACTTAGACCAGGACCGTGTCTTGGTTATTGAAAATAATGCTGACATGAACATGGTGGTACAAATATCTCTTTGGCATAGTGACTTCATTTCTGTCAGATATATACCCAGAAGTGGAATTGCTGAATTATATGGCAACTCTACCTTTAATTGTTTAAGGGACAGTCACACTGTTTTCCACAACGGCTGTGCCAATTTACATTCCCCACAGCACACAGTGGTTCCCATTCCTCTACATCTTGGCGATTAACAAATGTTAACTACTGACTTTTTGATAACATTCTAACAGGTGTGAAGTGATCTCATGGTGCTGATTTGCACTTCCCTAATAATTAGTGACGATAAGCACCTTTTCATATACCTGTTGGCTGTTTGTATATCTTCTTTGGAAAACTGTCTATTCAGGTCTTTTGCCCAGCTTTTAATTGAGTTATTTGGGTCTTTTTGCTATTGGGTTGTATGAAGTCTTTATATATTGGATATTAACTCCTTATTAGATACATGATTTGCACATATTTTCTCCTATTCCATACATTGCTTTTTCATTATTTTAAAAAAAATATTTATTTGGCTGCATCGGGTCTTAGTTGAGACATGCAGGGTCTTCACTGTGGCATGCGCGATCTTTCCGTGTGGCACATGGGCTCAGTTGCCCTACAGGACATAGGACCTTAGTCCCCTGAGCAGGGATCAAACTCACAGCCCCTGATTGGAAGGCAGAGTCTTAACCACTGGACCACCAAGGAAGTCCCTGCCTTTTCATTTTGTTGGACTATTTCTTTTGCTGTGAAGATGCTTTTTAGTTTCATGTAGACAACTATTGACTTGGCAGTCAAAAAAACACTGCCAAGATCCACATCAAGGGAGCATCTTTTTCCTATGTTTTCCTTTAGGAGTTTCATGGTTTCCAGTCTTGCACTTAAGTCTTTAATTCATCTTGAGAGGATTTTTGCTAGTGGTGAAAGACAGGGGTCGAGTTTCATTCTTTATATGTGGATATCCAATTTTCCCAACACCATTTATTAAAGACACTGTCTTTCACTCCATTGGATATTCTCAGCTCTCTTGCATGGGTTCATTTCTGGGCTTTGGATTCTGTTCCACTGCTCTATAATCTCTTTTTATACCAGTAATATACTCTTTGGATAGCCAAAGCTTTATTAAATAACTTAAAATCAGAAGTGTGATGCCTCTTGCTTTGCTCTTTCTCAGAACTACTCTGGCTATTTAGGGTCTTCTGTGGTACCATATAAATTTTAGGACTATTATTTTTACTTCTTTAAAAATTCCAGTGAAGACTTAATAGGGATTGCACTCAACCTAAAGATGGCTTTGGGTAATATAGATTTAACAACATTAATTCTTCCAGTCCAGGAACAAAGGATACTTTCTGTTCATTTGTATTTTCTTCCATTTCTTTCCTCAGTGCCTTGCAGCTCTTTCACCTCCTTGGTTACATTTACTTCTAAATATTTTGTTGTTTTCGATGCTCTTGTAAATGGAATAATTTTACTTTTTCCTTTTAGATAATTTGTCATTAGTGTATAAAAATGCTACTGATTTTTGAATGTTAACTTTGTATCCAGTAACTTAACTGAACTTGCTGAATATATCTAACATTTTGGTAAAGTGTTTAGGGTTTTCTACCTATAAAATCATGTCACATGCAAATAGAGAAAATTTTACTCTTCTTCTTCAATTCTGATGCCTTTTATATCTTTTTTCATGCCTAACTGCTTTGGTTAGGACTTCCAGTATAATGAACAGATGACAGTGGGTGTCCTTGTCTTGCTCCTGATCTCAGAGGAAAACCTTTCAAACTTTTCACTGTTAAGTGTGATGTCAGCTGTGGGCCTATCATATGCAGCCTTTATTATGCTGAGGTACTTTCCTTCTATGGGATTCCCAGCTGGCTCAGTGGTAAAGAATCCACCTGTCAATGCAGTAGACACAGGAGACATGGGTTTGATCCCTGGGTCAGGAAGATCCTCTGGAGGAGGAAATGGCAACCCACTCCAGTATTCTTGCCTGGAAAATTCCACCAACAGAGGAGCCTAGTGGAGCCCCAGGAGTCGGACGTGACCGAGAGACTGAGCGTGCACACCCGTTCCTCCTACATCTAATCTGTTAAGAGTTTTTATTACACACAGATGCTGACTTTTTTCAAAAGCCTCTTCTCCATCTACTGAAATGATCATATGAATTTTTCCCCTTAATTCTACAGTATGAGGTATCACATTTATTGATTTGTGTATGTTGTGTATGTTTGCATTCCAGGGGTAAATCCCACTTGATCATGGCGAATGATCCTTTTAATGTGGGGCTGAATTTCATTTGCTAGTATTTTTTTGAGGATTTTTACATCTGTATTCATAGGCTATTTGGCCTGTCCTTTTCTGTAATGAACTTTTCTAGTTTTGTTATCAGGGTAATACTAGCTTTGTAAAATGAGTCAAACAGTACTTTAAAAAACAAAATCAAAGAGCCGTTCAAATTAGATTTGTTTGTGTGTGATAAAGAGTAACGAGTAAGTTAGAGAGTCATTTTCACATATAGGAGTCAGATTTTTCCAGGAGTCTACTATATTCTGGGGGCCTCCCTGGCGGCTCAGCAGTTAAGAATCCACCGGCAATACAGGAGACTGGTTCGATCCCTGGGTCAGGAAGATCCCCTGGAGAAGGAAATGGCAATCCACTCCAGTATTCCTGCCTGGAAAATCCCACAGACAGAGGAGCCTGGAGGGCTATAGTACATGGGGTCACAAAAGAGTCAGACACAACTCAGTAACTAAACAACAACCACCACTATATTCTGTAACGTAGAATTCCTCATAATAGCCCTGAAAGATACAGAGTCAATCCTGCTTTGGATGAGAAACCAATTTGCTGTGCTGAGAGGGGCAAGTTACTTATCCAAGGTCACACAGTTGGTCTGGTGCCCAAGTCCACGTTTGCTATTCCGACAGCTTGCCCTGTCTCCATTTTAGTCACAATCAATTAGCTGCTTCCTAAATATACTCAAATGCAGTATAATGTTAACACGTGCTCATCAATCTTATCATTTTCAAAAATCCTAACAGTCCAAGCCCTTCCTGAGATGAGTGTGACTCCCTTGAGGACGGGGCCTGTGTCATTCTTGTAGGATCTATGCGGCCTTAGGAGGATGTTGGAGGACAGCAATCTCGGTCTCTACTCTGCCCACGATGGGGGTCCAGGCCTCTTTACTGCAATTACCAAGCAGAAACTCCATGCCTCTTGCTTCCTCATTTGCTGAGCTTCTATTAGCTGCCATTCAGAGGACCATTCTTCACAGGGTGTGAGCGAGGTAGCCACCCTGAGGCTGCTCCTGCCAAGCTCTCCCCGTGCTCTTAACTCGAGGTTCGGAGGACACCTTCCAGCTCCATACATCCCCTCGTGGCCAAAGTGCTGCTTTCTCCGTCTACAGCCACACGATTCAACACTGCCTCCCAGCTCCCTTTTCCACGGACATAAACGCTCAGCTCAGACCATGAGTCCCAGACAGCTGCCATGGAAAACATCCAGATACTCACTCCCAACGCCTCAGAAATAACAATAGTAAGGAGACCCTGTCCCTTGCTTTGGAATCCCTACACCCCGCCCCCTTTAGAGTCTGCCTAACCCAGGAGCACAAGCTCGCCCTCATGAACACACAGGCATGGCACAGAAGTGGGTGGAAAAAAGCCCTGGAGAAGGTACCTTTTTTTGCTCGGAGCACTCGCCCTAGCCTCTGGGCCTCCTGCCGCCGGGAGCCACCATGAGAGGAAATCTGAATGAGAACATTTGCTTCTGGCAAATCGAATGATGTGTCACCCACCTGCAGAAATGAGACAGCTGTGAGCTTGGGAAGGTTTTTAATGTGAGACAAAGAGGAAAAAAAATTCAACTAGCCTCAAATTTAAATAATCTCTGTAGATAATTTAGAAAAATCACTACCATCTCAGTCTATACCAGGGGCCCTCAGACACAAGCAGGTCTCTAGGACCTAGTGCGCTTCCTGAAAGGTGTCTTACAGAAGCTGTCAGGACCCAGATCCTAACCATCTGTCTCAGCAACAGTCCTAGTGCGAGCTGCTAAGGCCCAGAGACAAGAGGGCCCGATCAATACTCTGAGTGATGCTTTTCATTTTTTGCAACAGAACTGGGTCTGCACAAAACCATCCACAATCTTAACTCGAGGGCACTGAGGCCAACAGCACAAGCTGGACACGTGACCTGGTAGGGGCCACTGCCTGCAGTGGGCTGGATTCTGGGTCAGGGTAGCTGCCCTAGCTTGGCGGACGGGGGAAGGTCCAACAATCAAGGTCTCCAGACACAGAAATCAAAGCTTGGTATTTACTGATCAATCTATGATCACTTTATAGGTAAATCTCATTTCTTTGGGGCTTTGGGTCATTCTAATCTAAGTCAGTTCAGTCAGTTCAGTTGCTCAGTCGTGTCCGACTCTTTGTGACCCCATGAACAGCAGCACGCCAGGCCTCACTGTCCATCGCCAACTCCCGGAGTCCACCCAAACCCATGTCCATTGTGTTGGTGATGCCATCCAACCATCTCATCCTCTATCGTCCCCTTCTCCTCCTACCCTCAATCTTTCCCAGCATCAGGGCCTTTTCAAATGAGTCAGCTCTTCATATCAGGCGGCCAAAGTATTGGAGCTTCAGTTTCAACAACAGTCCTTCCAATGAACACCCAGGACTGATCTCCTTTAGGATGGACTGGATGGATCACCAAATTGGCTGACATGAAATTTCCTCCTCCCTTCCACTCAGCAGGGTTTCTAAAGGGGAAAGATCCTGGCTATGGTCGGCAGCAGTGTGTCTTCCTCCTACTGCCTGACACCCTCATCCTTTTCCAAGGCATTTAGCAGGAGAATGCCAAGGCTCCCCACCACTGTAGAGCCAATGCTTCAGGGAAATGCTGAGTTAACTTGGGCTTATCAAAAACAAAGACCTTGAGTTCTCTATAGGGAAGGCACTTTAAAGGAGGGGGTTTCTCTGGTCTAAACGACTATTCTAAACTGTCAGGCTACCACTTCTAACTGCAAATTAAAACCATCACCAAGCTGGACCTATGTGACCTTGTACTGTGTTTACATTCACCACTCACCCCCAAGGCACACAGGAGCTAGGACAAAGGTTGCCCACGACCCGCAGGAATCTCCAACCCCACAAAGAGAACCTCATCCACATGCCTCCCTTTGTCAGAGTATTTAGTGAACTTTCCCCTTTATACGAAAAAAATACAACTTAAAATTCCTGTATCCCAAAAAGAGGTAGAAAAAGCTTCAGTCATACAAAAGGACTTGCGAGAGTGCATACTCCTTGAATTAGGAATGTAGACTATATACACTAAAACTACATCTGCTGCTTCTACTTCCTGCCAAACAACATTCCCATGTCCCTGGACACTGAATACACGGGAATGAAAACTGATGTGTGATGTTCCTTCAACAAACCCCAATGCACTGCCCAGAGATCACCCAGCTGCCCCCAGGCCCCGGGGCTGCCGCATGCCACACTGACCTTGGATATGAAGATGGTGTTGATTTTGGGGTTATGCTTGAAATTCTGGAGAATCTGCATCCTTTCTCCCTGGGACGTAGGACCATAGATATAGGGTCTAGAGAAGAACAAATCTATGTTGGGACGACCACAGAAGCACTCCTTGCTCCTTGACTATCCTGAAAGCATGTCGGAGGGAAAGGGAGCTCTCGCAAGGTTTCCCCCTCCCAGGAAGACCTCTGTCATGGAAGAACATCAAGAAGAGACCCATAAAAAAACATGCCCCCACTGCCGCCACCCCTTCCCCTCTGAGCCAAGGTGCAGGTCACCATTCTCTTCAGGATTCTCCCTTTATTCTTTCGTTTTTGGAATGTGCTCCTTCCTCCTCCCACATCTCTCACTCTAAGCTTAGTGTCTATACAAAGAGAATCCCCTGGATTCCATGAAGCACAGCAGGAAAAAAAGAAAACATTGCTATTTGCAAACAAAAACCTAGAAGGAACCATTTCCAAATGAAACAGGCATTCTCCAAGAAAGGAGAACAGAACCCCTCCCAGAACTTCCCATGACTCCCTGTAATGCTACGTTCAAAGCACTTCTCACTAGTTTCCAGCTACCACAGGGCACAACCCTTTCTGACAACCTCGCTGGTTATCACCTCTTGGCATCTGGCAGTGCCATTCCTCTACTCTTCCTATAATGACGTGGTTTTTGTAGCTTCCACAGGGGCGGTAATGATAGAGCGATGATGGCAACGACAAGGACAATGAGGACAGCAAGGGAGTACGCAGGGCCCGCCCACACCAAACAGAGGTGGGCTCTGTGTTTTGGGGAAAATCCATACCTGCCAGTATTCCTCAGATCTGTACAAGGGGGGTTGCATGTTCCCAACTTACACCTGAGGTTAGGAGCCAGAGGACGCTGAACTCAAGTGGCTGTTCCACCATTCAGGCCCACCAGCTCCCTGGGAGGCCTAGGAAGCACTGCTTCTGGTATTTCACACACACTTCCTAACACTGTGCTGTAAACTGGTAACAGGTGTACCGAGAGAGCAGCCCCCTGGCCTATGGGGAAGCCAGGCAAGGCTTGGGACAGCTGGATGCTTCCCCAATCCTGCAAGCATGGCTTACCAGAGTGTTTGGAGAACCCTACAAATCTATTATTTTCTGGGTGTTCATGCTATGAAAAAGGGCAGGAATCTGCATTCTTCAGAACAGTCTGTCTCTTGATATCTAGGTTTTTAGGTGGCTCTTTTTTCTCCTTGATCATCATCAGAAAAAAACAACTCATATAGTGGCAAGCCCTCAGTCTCTGAGTCAAAGTGTCAGTCGCTCAGTCGTGTCCAGCTCTTTGCGACCCCATGGACTGTGGCCCGCCAGGCTCCTCTGTCCATGGGATTCTCCAGGCAAGAATACTGGAGTGGGTAGCCATTCCCTTCTCCAGGGGATCTTCCCGGCCCAGGAATCAAACCTGGGTCTCCTGCATTACAGGTGGATTCTTTACTGTCTGAGCCACGGGGAAGGTTCCCTCATATAGGAAATGAAACAGAAGGGTAGCCATCCTCCAGGAAAAGGACCTCACATTTGTTGAACACCCACTAGATGTAAGAATCCTGAGGTAGGTGGTGGTAACTCTAAGAGAGAGTAGATCAGAAGGGTAGAGCACAGAAGCAGATGCCTGGGCCGACACAGAACAAGCCAGTCTTCTACACAGAACACAAAAGGGCTCAAGATCGAATCATCCGTTGCCTCAGAAGGTAGGCGTCAGGGCAGGATTACAGACGGGAAGACTGACAGACTGTATGTGCAAGCAACAGTGTCAGATCCCAACTCCCGCTGCCAAGCAGGCCTCTGCCCACCCGGCAGGAAACTGGAGATGTACTTTCTAGATTCTGAACACACTCAGGGAGACCTTTTGCCTTCAGGCAGAGCTGAGGGTAAAGCATGAGTAAATTGAAGAAAGACAGGGATTCCCCATTCCCCTCCTTGCCACGGGCTGGTATCTAGGAAACGGTAAGATTCCTCTCGGGAGAAACTTTCCAGCCCAAAAGAAAGGACCCTGAGATACTGACATCTGGCAACTGCTTGACAAACTGGCCAGGCCCATGCCTGATAATGGAGAGGTCCAGAGGCTGGCAAATCCACCAAGCTATACAGAAAGGTCAACCAGCTTTTTAGTGACTCACCCTTAAATAAGAAAGTAAGAGCCAAAGATCACCAAAAATCACAAGATGGGCTCGAAAGACAGAGCTGAAACAAGACACTTGAAGAAAAGAGAGATGGTGTGGGGAATAGAAGTGGAAAGCTTCAAAAGCTTTAATAGCCACAGAGAAGATACCATACTTACTCAAAAAAACAAGAACAGTGGACAATAAAGAACTCTTGGAAATTAACAAAAGCTTCAACAGAGTTAGTAGACAAAGGGATAAAAAATAAGAGAAAGATGGGAGCTCCCTAGGGGTCCAGTGGTTAGGACTCAGTGTTTCCACTGCCTTAGCCTGGGTTCAATCCCTGGTCAAGGATAAGCTACATGGCACGACCAAAAAACAGGCGGGGGGGCGGGAAGGAACTGGAGAAGGTGCCCAGAAGATCTAACACCTGACCAGCAGGAATTCAGAAAGAGAGAAAAGGAACTTCCCTGGCAGTTCAGTGGTTAAGACTCCAATGTAGGGGGCATGGGTTTGATCCTTGGTTGGGGAACTAAAATCCCACATGCCACATAGCACAGCCCTCTCATCCCTCAAAAAAAAAGAGAAGAGAAAACAGAGAAGATGAGTAACAAAGAAAAAACAGAACTTCTCTGAATTGAAGGACACAAGTTTTCAGACTGAAAAGTATCTACTGCATATATCGTAATGAAAGAAAAAAAGATCATACTAGTCACACTGTTTTCAAACTTCCAAAAATGAAAAAAAGATTCTAAAACCCTCTTGAGAGAAGGAAAACCCATCATCACCACAACAGATCACATACAGATAGGAGTCAGAAGAGCATCAAGCAGGCTTGCAAGCAGCTGCATTGGAAGCCGAGAAAATAGCCCTACCTGACATTCTGAGGCCCCATCAAGCTACTCACCAAGTGTGAGAGTGAATAATGACATCTGCAAGCAAATTCTTATGAAATTTTCCTCTACATACCTTCTCTCAGAAATCAACTAAAGGATACACTCCACCAAAATGAGTGACCAAGAAAGAGGAGACTTGAGATGCGGCAACAGGGGCTTCAACACAGGGAAGAGGTACAAGGAATTCACAGGATGTTATCAGAGGCATGCCCAAAGGTAACAGGCAGCATCTCAAGTCCTAGAGAGCAAGCAGACCAGAGCAAGACACGAAGATGAAGCATTTGAAGGGATCCGATCAGAGAAAGATCTGACCCTTCTGAGAGGGAATTTTATGAGGAGTCTGAAAATTACCAAGTCTGTAACTTGGTAATTACATAGAAAACCAAGCAAAAGTAATGACAAGGCAACTATTAAATCTAGGAAGAAACAAAATGTTAATAAAAACTGTAATCACAGTACGCTGCCTGCCTTGAACAATACTTACACAGTCAAAATAATGTAACACTGACATTAGTTAGAACAAGGAAGCAATCTAGTTATCCATCAACAGATGAATGGATAAAGTTGTGGTACATATACACAATGGACTATTACTCAGCCATAAGAAGGAATGCATTTGAGTCAGTTCTGATGAGGTGGATGAACCTAGACTGAAGTGAGTCAGAAAGAGAAAGATAAATATCGTATACTAGTAGATGTGCTGCTGAAGCGAGCACAAATATCGTATTCTAACACACAAACATGGAAGCTAGAAAAATGGTTCTGAAGAATTTATTTACGGGGCAGCAATGGAGAAACACACATAGAGAATGGACTTGTGGACACGGGGAGAGGGGAGGAGAGGGTGAGATGTGTAAAAAGAGTAACAGGGAAACTTACATTACCATATGTAAAATAGATAGCCAAAAGGAATGTGCTGTATGGCTCAGGAAAGTCAAAGAGGAGCTCTGTATCAACCTGGAGGGGTGGGATGGGGAGGGAGATGGGAGGGAGGTTCAAAAGGGAGGGAATTTATGTGTACCTATGGCTGATTCATGTTGGTGTTTGACAGAAAACAGTGAAATTCTGTAAAGCAATTATCCTTCAATAAAAAAATAAATTAAAAAAATATAGAATTAATAAAAAAAAGGTAAAAATGTAACATTGAAACTAACTTAGTCCCAAACATATTGTGTGGATGGAGTGGGGAGAGGGGATGCAACAACATATGTAAGAAGGCTAAATCCACCACTCCCATGGTAGGAAATTAATAGGCAATTTCAATAATTAATCATCAAGAAATTGCTATACAAATTATTACTTAGAAATAGGAAGGTAGATAGAGAAAAGAGTTGAAAGTATCCATCTCTGGGGAACAAGGAATTTTGACTAGGAAGACAGGTGCAAGGAACTACTAGCTTTCTTAACGGCCTATGTTACTTTGATAAAACATAAAATGTTTCCTACATTACAATAAGGTACAGTTTTAGAAATTTGAGAAACTCAGTCTGTGTCCCAGTTTTCTCGTCTGTAACATGAGACTAATACAATCATCTCTTATGGCTGAGGTGATGAAGAGCAGCTGTCTGTATCCACCCTCCCCACCGACATAAAAATTCAGGCTGGAGGACCTTGTCTTCTGCTACACTCACAGCACCTGAAGCCCTGTATCACTGTAAAGAAGCACAGGTCTCTTCCTCTTTCCTTGGCAGGAAATTTTCACATTTTCAGTAGTATCTGGGTGAGGCTGTAACAAGGACTCTGCTGGGTGTTTCCTAAGAAGCTCTTTCTAGATGTTGGGCCATACCTGGGATGCTGGTTCAGTCTGCCTTGCCTTCCCGGCCCCTAGTCCATATTGTCTGATCTCATCTCCAATCACAGTGCCACTCAACCTGAAACTCCAGATGCCAACTAGTGCCCACCTTCGGAGCCCAGCCCCAAAGCAGCACTTGCTCTCTTGGCTCACAGTGACCAGGCCCTCTCTTCTATACACACCGACCTCTGACTCTGATCACTGCTCCTCTGTCTCATGTGGTCCCTCGGAACATAAAACTAGACCTTCAGATATTAAAAAGTTCCTGAGAGCTTCGAGAAAAAAGTCACCTTCTGCACTCTCACATGGGGAAGATAAACGGGCTTTTGAGGCCAACTCTAACATTTCAATTCTTACTTGTTCAGTCGAATGGCATATTCCTTCAGAGCAAACACGTTGTCAGCAAAGACAATAATCTTGTCATTCCTCCGTTCATGAAACTTGATCAGAAACTGGCAAGCTCTGAATTTGTTGGGATTCATGGTGTACAGCAAGATCCGTTTCTTGGTTTTGATTGCCACGTACTCCCGGTAGAACTCAGGAGACATTGGGCACCAAACCTGTGAAATGGTAAGAATCAGGGGTCAGTATGCAAGTTTAAGTACCACACAACTGAAAACTTTGGCAAGTCAGCTTTAAAACAAACCAAGACAAAACCAATGGCATGTGAATTACATCTCAAAACTACTGTAAACACACACAGTACAAAACAAAACCTGAGACCCAATGCTGAACTAAGACCCTCTTACACGTTAGTAGCAACGATTTAAAACGTACTGACAGCAGTGGGGGACCTGCTCCGCCCGCCTCTGGAAAGAGAACCGCACACACGCTTGCCAGCTGTGGGTGTCAGGTCAGCCTCGCAATGACACCCCAGTAACGACACAAGAGAACTCTTGAGGGTAGGGGAAATGCTCGAAAACTGGATTGGGGGCCACAGCTGCACAACTCTCTGCACTTACTAAAACCACAAAAATTGTAAATCAACAGCATTTACTTACAACAGATGAAAGTTATGGAACATAAACCAGACCTTGATAAAGCTGTGGAAAAAAGCAACTTAGCAACCCCAATGTCAGTCAACATCACTAAGTCTCGACCAATTCCTTTGTGACCTCATGGACTGTGGCGATCAGGCTCCTCTGTCCATGGGATTTCCCAGGCAAGAATGCTGGGGTGGGTTGCCATTTCCTTCTCCAGGGGATGTTTCCGACCCAGGGATTAAACCCACATCTCCTAAACTAGCAGATGGATTCTTTATCACTAGGCCCCTGTCAACATTAGAAAAGACTATTTTTACTGTTGTGTAATATTCCATCAGCTATCAAATTGTGGTATATTTGTCCAGTGGAATATTACAGAGGAATTCAAAGTAATGAACTATAGCTATAAGAATCATCAAAAATAATGCATTACAAGGAATAAGAATACTAAGCAAAAATCAGAAATCATGCAAGAACATTTATATATATATATATATATTATATCGCCTGATTCTTTTTGCATATACATAAAGATTTTAAAGGGGCTTCCCAGGTAGCACATTGGTAAAGAATCTGCCTGCCAATGCAGGAGATGTGGGTTCGATCCCTGGATCGAGAAGACCCCCTGGAAAAGGAAACAGCAACCCACTCCAGTATTCCTGCCTAGAAAATCCCATGAACAGAGGAGCCGGATGGGCTACAGTCCATAGGGTCACAAAGAGTCCCATATGACTTAGCAACTAAACAAAGATTTTTAAAAAGCAAAGCTAAACAACAAATGCTTAGGGAACTGTACATAGGAAGTAAAATAAGAAAGAAAAGCAAGAAAATGACAAGCCTAAGCTCCAAGACAGTGGCTGAGGGAGAGGAGCTGCGACTAGACAGGAACAGGCATCTCAAAGATTCCAGCACTACTGTGCATGACTTGGGTGCTCTTTATGAAGATGTACGCAGAGGGTGAGGAAGCTTCTCGACAGCAAGGCCACCCACACAGTTTCCTCACACTCACCTTCACCCAGGAGGCCCATCTCTGCCCTTTCAGGACACAGCCCACCCTACTCTAGCCACTAAGTGACGGTCATCTTAAAACGCCAGAAAGGCCTTCTGTTGCTACTCTTCTGAACATGTATTTTTAACACATACCTGTGCAGGTATTCATCACAGAACAATACTGGGAAAATGTGTTGTTAGAAACTGAATGTTGAAGGTCACATGTGCTTTCCGTGGGCATCGAAACCAATAGACTCTGGCACTGGGGGTGGCTGGTGGCTCTTCTCATGGAACCAAGGATCCCTCTGGGGTGAAAGTGGGCAGGAGCACCCTGAGGTGCTCACTCCCAGAAGGGAGGACGAGCAGCCGTGCAGGCCTGGATTAGGCTCCTGATTGGACCACGTCCTATGTGCCCCTGGACAGGCGACTGCCTCACACATCTGAGATGGCAGGAGACTGCCCGCCCTGCAGGAGGGCTGAGGGTACCGCACAAGGCGGCAGAACCTCTGCTCCGGTCCTGACCCGCAGATCTGCCTGTGAGGAATGGACCTGACACAATGCCCTCCCAGCGCCCCGCCCCCAGGGACCACGAGGAAGGGGACAGTTACCTCCGCACACTGGACCTTGGCAATGTAGCCACTGTTCTGCAGCTCCATCCAGTTGGCCTCGTAGAGCTTCGGCCCAATCAAAAAGTTTAAGTCGACGATTTTGTCGTCTTCCCGGACGAGGGTTGCGGTCAAACCCAGTTTGCAGTGCGCCTGCACAATGGTGAGCACCCGTCGGAACATCTTGGCTGGGGAAACAATTGGCACACGCACACCGTCACTTTTGAAATGCTTCTAAGTACCAAAGACAGCTTTGACCTAACACTGGTCCAGGACACTACATGGCTAACCCCTGGGTCACAGGATCACAGAACCCTGGCTCTAGTCAAGAATGACTCGGTGGGAAAGCTTCAACTCCACTTTCAGACCTGTTCCAAAGAAGGGTGAAGAAGAGAACCAGAGGAGATGACTTAGAGGAAGCCCCAAGCCAGGGAGCCCCAGCGCTCCCCTCACACAGCTAAGCTATCAGGAGGAGCATGAATGGCAACTGAAAACACGATCCAGGACATTAAAATGCCACTGAGCTCCGACTCACACAAGGAATTTGTTCATCCTGAAGCCTGCTGACCAGAACAAATGCTTCAAACACAGCCTCCAACTAAACTGCTACAAAGCAATTTCAAAGTTTTTTGAAATTATTTATAGAAAATGGTTCTTTTTATCAATTTCCAATCTATCAGACCAAACACCCACCCTCTCTGTAAGACTTTTTTTTCTTTTCTCGTTTTTGATTCCCAGGTGGCACTAGTGGTAAAGAACCTGCCGGCCAGTGCAGAGGCCTAAGATTCCCAGATTCCAACCCTGGGTCGGGAAGATCCCCCGGAGGAGGAAATGGCAACCCCCTCCAGTATTCTTGCTGGGAGAATTCCATGGATAGAGGAGCCTGGTGGGCTACAGTCCATGGGGTCACAAAGAGTTGGACAGGACTAAACAACTCAGTACACCGCACACTGAACTTTTCCTGAGGGTGGGCAAGTGAGCGTGGTTTTACAAATGTAAACACAGGGGCAGACTGGCCACCACCTTGATCAGGTTACAAGCCAGGCCACACCCCGAAAGCTCCTCTACGCTCTCCCTCGTCACACCCCCGATCCCGCCCCAGCAACCACTGATCTGTTCTCTCTCACTACAAGAATGTCCTACTGAAGGCATCACGCACTCTGCAGCCTCTTGGGACTGGCTGACTTCACTTAGCACGATGCCTCTGGGCTTCCCTTCCATGGCTGAGGAGTATCCTATTGAATGACGTGCCAGCTTGTCCATCCAGCCCCTCACTGACAGGCATTTCCATGGTTCATAGGTTTTGGAGACTACAACCAGGGCTGTTATAAACATGCACAAGTTTTTGTGTGAACCTAAGTTTTCATTTCTCCAGGACAGATGCCCATGGTGGGACTGCTGGCTCATATGGTGATTTTCTAATAAACTGCCAAACCTCCCCAGGGTGACTGTACATTTTGCAATTCCTCTGGCCATGCATGACAGTTCCAGAGTGCTCTGCACTCTTGTCAGTACTTGGTACTTTATATATATAGATACATAGCCACTGTAATAGGTGTGTCTTTTGGGTGAAGTCTATTCATGTCTTTTGCCTGTTTTCTAACATTTTCTGCCACTGCCTGACTGTCTAAAGGCAATCAAATTAACATGTCTATAGCCTACTCCCAATCTCCTCTCTCCAAACCTGCTTCTTCTAGCACCTTCCCCACCTAATATCCACTCCTCTCCTCTGATGGCTCAAGCCAAAATCTGACAGTCATCCTTGATTTCTCTTTCAGAACCACATCTAACCTGTGCACTTCATCTTCAAAGCATAACCAGAATCAGCGTACCTTCATTCTTTCTGGTTCGGAGCCTTGTGTTGGGATTCCACAAACTAGCGTATCTAGATGCTCTCTACCCTTGCTTCCTGCAGTCTCTTCCCAGCACAGCAGCCAGAGTGAAATTTTTAGAACGTTAAGTCAGATCATGTCACCCTTGGCTCAAATCTCTTAAAAGGCATCTCACCCAGAGTACAAGCTGAAGGTCTACCTTCAGGCCCGACCAGATTGGCCCCAAGGCCTCTCTGAACTCAGTTTTGACTGCTCTTCCCCTCGATGCCCTCCCCAGCCACAGAACCGCACGGTGGTCAGACCATGCAGGTACTACTTCCCCACCTCAGGACTGCTTCCTTCTGACCGAGAGACCCGCATCCCTGCTTGGCTTGCTGTGAACATCTCCAGACATCTTCAGACATCCAGAGGGGTTGGAGGAGTTCTCATTACAGAGAAAATAATAAGATGGAGAGGCCATCTTCACAATAATTTGAAAACACTATGTGAAAATGCCTCTGATTTCATTCAATTCAGAGTCATCTCTAATTTCCACTTCTCAATGGATCAGAACTGCGAATTTGTTTTATCAAGAAAGGTTTGCCTGGTCTGCTACTCAGTAATAAAGGGAACACATCATCAGTACATGTCACAGTGTGGATACACTGTTATGTGAAGTGAAGGAAGTGAGATATAAGAAAATATATATGATATGATTCTGTTAATATATTTCCAGAAAAGGCATGCATACAGAAACAGAAAACAATTTAGTGATTGCCTGGGGCTAAGGATGAAAACATTGATGCTGAGTATGAGAAAGATGTTCTAAAACTGGACCATGGTGATGGTTGCACAAACGCCTTACTAAATTCAAGATTACTAAAAATTTTGAATCATATACTTATAATGGGTGGATTTATGGCTCGTAAATTATAACAATATGGCTATTAAAAGGACTGCCTGCAATACTTGAACAAGTACGACTTCTATAACATAATAAGGATCAATACTTTAGTTTTCAAACAAAACAAACATTGCAAGAACTATTTTGGGCTCCTAGTATAGTTTTTGTGGGACTGTAAAAAAAAATGAGTTGCCCAGCACCAGACAGCGCTTCCTGACGGTACATGCAGCTGTCACACCCACCAGGGACTTACCAGCACCTACAAGACACCAAGGGCAACCCCGCCCAAGCCGGGCTGAAATGAGGGACAGGGACAGACAAAAAGACTCGTCGGCACACCAATCTGGCCCAAAGTATTCATAACGATCCGCACAGCTGACACTGTTGAGGCATTTTTTTCGGCTCTAAACCTGTTTCGTTCTTTACAGAAAAGGAGGCATGCCCACTTCACACACAAATGTGAAAACTGAGAGACAAGTGCCAGGTCCTGTTAAAGCGCCATATATGCTTTAATCTGCTTTAAATCTTAAAAAGCAACATTTGTCAAAACAAACTATGAATAAGAGACACTCCTACTACTGCCGTTTTAAAGATGGGAAAACTAAACTAAGGTGCAACCTGCCCAAGACCCTGGGACAGCAGTGCTGCTAGGGTACAGTGTACCCAACACATGGACTACCTAAGCAGGGACTGAGTAAACGGCGGCTACCGTGATCACACAATAAACTGGGCTGAGCACTCAGGAATGTGGTAGTGCGAACACTGCTGCTGGCAAAGACACAGGAAGGTGAAACTCCAGCGGCTTCTAAGTTCACCACCAACCACCATCAGAAGATCAAGATTAAAAATCAAGCTGTTCCTATAAAAAGCAATTCTTCCTTAACCAGGGATGTGCTTCAAAGTAACCCATGGGGCTTAAAAAAAAAAAATGAAGGTGCAGGCCCCTTCCTGAGTTCACCTTCCAGAGTCTGGGGTAGGGCTCCAGCTGAGTCTACTATGACTTCCGGCCAAGAACCTAGGCCAGACCAGACACGACTCAGGACACATCCAGAAAGAGCAGCCTACTCATCTCCTTCACTCACTCACCACAAGGAAGGACAATGACCCCGGAGCGTGCACGCCCGTTCCCAAACATCTTCCGCAAGCTCTTCTCCTGATAAGGTCTAAGGACAGCTGTGGGCTTCAAGTCAATGTTGATATCAGGGTTGACAGAATCATTCCGAAAGTCATATTCTGCCAACAGAGGGTATTCCAGGTGGATGCAACGTTTCTGTAGTTCTTCAATCATTTCCTGAAAGTGAGCATGAAGGTTTTATAATCTTGTTAACTCCAAAGCATGCTCAGAAGCAACACATATCCTAAGATACCTAACAATAAAAAAATAAGTTACCTAGACTTTTGCAATTTCAGATCTTGCTTGATAACAACTGGGTTAAAGCACAGAAAAGCACCCCAAACTAGGGTAATGAATAAAATTAAATCCAATCAGCTACCAAAATGCCCCGAAAACATCACTTCTCACAGACCCACCAGCAGGAAGAATGGGACGCTCAGATATAACTCTATCAGGGAGCATGATGCTGCAGCACACTGGAGACAGACAGGGGTTCCTTACTCTCACACAAACTATGGACTGTCCATGCGGGGCCAGGCCAGCTTCTGACATCAGCTTAGAGAAGCAACCAGGAGGGGTTATGTTCACTAACCTGTTTAACTTCAAAAGATACTGTCTGTGTCTCTTCTTCTTCCTCCTCATCCTTGTCCATTTGCTCATAAAAATCAAACAGGTCTGCAGGGACGTCAGATTTACCCTGCGGATCTGTCACTCGGGAAGTGGAGGGCCCACCGCTGCCGTCAGCACTCTTAGCAATCTGAAAGGGAAGGGCAGGATCTGGACTTGTACGAGACATTTAACCCTACTGTTACCAAGCAACAGTCAAAAGTTGCAAGAAAACTGCAGAACTACTAGGTGGCCAACGCTGGACTAAAGGCACCTGAGAGCTGAAATCCTAAATTTGTCCCACCCGAGGGTGACCCAGGAGCCCACATACAGCGGACTTGCTTGTGAAGGTCTCAGTGATGAGCTCTGTGGCCTCCCCCTCAGAGTTCCTCAGGCGGCACTCGCGGATCACAGGATCCTGGAGAAGATGCTGGATGACGTCAGGGTGAGAACTTTCCACAAAGTATCTATAAAAAGGGGGGAAGCAGAAGCCTACTGACCAGGACAGAATTTGCAGAAGAGTCCCATTTAGCATTCACAAGGTGGTCTGGGGATAGTGGCCTCTGGCTTCTCTCCACATTCATTCTTCCCCATCCCTTTGCCAAAGCCAAGTGATGAGCTACTGGTCAGGATATAACACAGAAGGGCTGTTGGCAAAGCCCCACTTTGAAGACAAACTAGCAGGGATCTGAACCCCAGTCACATGACTAGGAGAATACAGTGGTCAGTGAATGAATGGTTTTGGCCACAGAGCTTCACTCATTCCCTTCACCCCCTTACTCTGGAGAGTAGGTGTTAGTGCTGAGCAGACAGTCCACAAATGTCACCTTCCTGCCACTGATACGCAGAGGGTGAAAATGCCCTGGTGGGCCTGTCACAGAGTCCCGTACCTGTTGTGCTTCAGGACCAGCTTGACTTTCCCGTAGCTAACAGTACACAACTGCAAGGAGTGACAACAGACAGGCAAAATCAGCAACATGCAGCTCACTCAGAAAAGTAATTACTGGACGCATTTTGCTACCTATCAACCAAGTGAAGGGTTCATTTTACTTTAGGAAAATCCAATGTGCAATCCTAAAGGGGTAGATCTGTCTAAAGAGAATTTTTTCTATTAGCTTCTACATTTCTTTTTAGCTTTAAATACTTAAAAAAAATTTTTAACTTATTTTTAATTAAAAAGTAAGTGTTTTACAATATTGTGTTGGTTTCTGCCATACAACAACATGAATCAGCCACAGGAACACATATGTTTAAATATTTCTACTAATAAGGATGACTAGAAATTAATGAACTAAGTATCTAACTCAAGCTACAGGTTAAAAAAACACCACTACCCACAAAAACCCAAAAGAAACAGAAGGACAGAAATTAAAGATAAAAGTGTAAAAATGATTTTGAAGAAAAAAAAAAAACGGTAAAACTACTTCAAGTAAAATAAATCCAATAGAAATATTTTTTTTTCATTGAAAACAGCAGGAATTCTCTGGTGGTTCAATGGTTAGAACTGGAGGCTCTTGCTACAGAGGGCCCAGGGTTTAAGTCCTGGTCAGGGAGCTAAGATCCCACATGCCCCATGATGCAGGATTCGGGGTGCGGGAGTGAAAACAGCTTAAATCAGTAGTTGATCTAGTCAAGAAAAGATAGGAATGAAACACAAAAACACTACTGAAAGTGGGCAGTGGAGATAAACTGCTCACTGCACAGCTTTCGGTGTCTGTGTGTGCATGCCGAGTCCAGTTCAGTCACGTCTGACTCTTTGTGCAGCTTCTACTTTTTGAGAGCAAAACGTCCCTCTTGTCTGGCTGATTCTGATGCACATCCCTTAACCTATAAAATGCTGCCTAAAATCTGTTATTTTCCCTTTCTCTTTATTCTTCACTTCGAGAGGCCCCATCCTAATCCAGAGATTCATCCCACTGTACCAGTGCTAGCCCCAACACAAAGCTGGCAGAATATGTGTCCAGGAACTGTGTGCTGCAAAAATTACACCAAAGCCTTCAGCCTCCTTGCCAACATTCCTATTTCCTCAACTAGATGTAAGATTCTTAATGGCAGAAAATCCTTCCAAGTTCCCAACAATCTTTAGGACAGAATGAACAGAGAAAACGTGGCCACAAAATTTGCAACTCAGATCCTGAGCTGCTGCCTGCCTCCACTACTGCCCTCTACACCCACCCCTGCACTAACCAACACCCACACTCCTGCAGGCAGCTCCCAGCCAAGACGGAGAAGAGCCGGGGAACTGAAGCAGACTCATTTTACAAGATGCAAGTCCTTCTCCCCAGGTACCCCTGCACATCACAAGAAAAGAGAACTCTCTTCAGGGCTCCCACCAGCTTCTCTGAGACTGGCTTCATTACTGTGCTGGACGCCTGTGGCACTCACTCATCTGCCACTCCAGACCTGGGGTCTGAATCCAAGTGCCTATTGATCAGCAGAAGACAATGAAAGCTACTGTCCATCTCTTCTGAATGGTATTCATCATCTCTCAGAACCCAAGCATGTTCAAGTGCTCGTCACAGAGAACTCTTTCCTCTTTCACATACGAAGTCCTTTTTGACTTTTCCTAATGGAAGTTGTTGACTAGTGGTCTCGTGTCTGTTAGACTTAAGTGAAGTGTGTCATCTGTACTAGTCTGCTCATGTTACCATACAGTTCACCCTGGACTGAGCTGTATAACAAACAGAAACTTCTTTCTAGAGGTCCAGGACCATGAGGCCAGGAATTTCTTTTCCAGTGAAGGTTCTCTTCCTGGTTTGCAGAGGGCTGCCTTTTACTCTGGGCTCACATTACCTCCTCCTTGTACAAATGCAGAGAGAAAGAGCATACAAGCCTTCTGGTATCCTTTCCTATAAGGACACTAATCCTACTGGCCCTACCCTTTTAACCACATTTAACTTTAATTATTTCCTTACTCCAGATACAATCATATTACAGGTTAGGTCCTGAAGACGTGAATTCTGGAGGAGGCACAATTAGGTCTGTAACACCCTGCACTTTGGGCTGTATTCCCAAATAACCCGGGCCACAATGGGCCTGAATGAGTAAACCCACTCTGTTAGTACCCACTGGCTAAGAGTAGCTCATGGGAAGTGTAGCCTCAGCAAAACACAATGCTGGATCCAGAAGAGCAACAGCCAGGGTGATTGGTGATTCTGCTCCCCACTATGGGTCTGAATGGCATTTTCTTGACTGCCACAAGCTAACGATGTACAGCACTTGTCCCTACCATTACTACATTAAGAAGGATGGCAAAAGAGCCAGCCTTTGCCCCCACTTGCCTTAATAAACTGAATGATTCCATCTGGGACTCCTGTCTTGCTGAGCTTCCTGAGATACTCAGTGATGTCACTGGTTTGCAGGCCGACGCTGACAGCTGCATATAGGGAGTAGGCAGTTAGTTTGTATTCATGCACATGGGTTGGTCGGCACACCGGTTCTGCAATAGCCACCAGGAAGTCTTGAGCGTATTTGTAAACTGGAGAGAAGGCTTCTAAAAAGATGTGGCCATCAGGAGCCTGGAAACACCAAATGGACACAACAGTCAAGGAAATTAATGGGATGATTAGACTCTTTCCCACATCATTATCTAGAAAGGATAAGCTGCCCAGAAAACCAACACCAGTGATACTTTTGTAAGCACATCTTCAGTCAACTGTAGGGCCTGATACTACTTTAATTAGATACAAGCAGTAGAGAGAACAGAAGACAAAGTCAGTAGCTGCCTCCCACTAATCTTCACAGGAAAAGCCAGCGACCTTACTGGCTATCTTTCTGGCTAGATGACCAATGAATGGAGAACATGAATTACTTCAAGTTGAGCAAAAAAGCTGCCTAGCAAATATGTCTCATTAATTTTTTCAAAGAGGAATTAAAACGTTACACAATAAATGCCACTATTCCATGGATGAAAGTAATTTCCAATCACGCGGCAGAACTGGAGACAGAATGAGTAAAAGCGGGGGTTAGTGAGGAAGGAAGCCCAAGGCCAGCCAGCACATGAGCGCAAACATGCTCATTCCTATCTCGGTTGTTTCAGTCCGTGCTTACGAAAGCGCGCTCTCACTGGGCTCCGAAGCGCACGATCCTGCATTTCTGCTTGGGCCCCACCAACTTTGGGTCACTGGCTATGGGTGTGCTTACCACCCAGAGGGGTCTGGAGGTGTGGTCGTCCTTCAGCGGCATCTGCAGCCTGTAGTCCTTGGCTCCATATTCATCCACTTTGGTGCCGGACTCATCCACCTGCTTTCCGGCCGCGGAGGGAACAGCTTCCTGGGTGTCGTTCCCAGGAGCGTCGTCTTCATCGTCTTCCTCATCCTCGTAGTGCCGCTTCTTGGACTTCTTCTTCTCTGCAGATATTAACAAGGACACACAAAGTGAGTCCTGCAGAAGCCTTGGGCTCCACCGCACTGACTAGTCGCAGGTCGGGGGGACCTGGCTGCAACTGGACTTCTCCAGCGCCAACCATCCCTAGCCCGGAGCCACTGAGCACCTCGGGAGTCCTGTCCCTCACGCTGTCCACCTAACCCGGTTGCAGGGCTCTCCGGAGGTCGGGGTCGACCCCCACCCAGCGGCCAGTCCTGACAGCATGCGCCGGTCGCGAGCGACTCTGGGGTCGACCGCCCCTGAGAAGGCCTAAGCAGCAACCATACAGGATGAGGGGGCCGGCGGGTGCAAGCAACCCCGAAACACCCCCGCGCCACGTCTCACCGCGGTCGGCCCGGTCTCTCTTGCCCATGACTGCGCCCGCTGCAGCCTACCACCGCCCCTAGCCTACCGCGGCGGCAGCTCTCGGAGGGACTTCCTGTTCACACCGGAAGCTCTTCTGGGCACCGCCCAGGAAGTTCCGCCACCGGGCGTTCGGTGGCCGTGTGAGTAGCGGAGCCTGGCCGCTGAGCAATCCGCTGGCTGTTCCCCGGTGCAGGCGCTTTCTCAACACTTTCTCTCCTAGTCAGTGAAACATGTTTTGAGTACTTGTTATGACCGTCCAGACACTGTAGTTTTAGCCCGTGGGTCAGGACAGAGAAAAGGTCTTGGCCTTCTGTAACAGAAAAATGTGGACAGTAAACAAATGTGTTGAGCGCCCTAAGGAGAAATAAAAGAGAATGACAGTTTGTGCTATTCTGAATGATGGTGCTAGAATACCTCTCTGAAGCTATTTGAGTGAATGATCATGAAAGTGGACAATGTCCTACGTGAATACCAGAAAGGAACAGTGTGGACCTAGGGGCCCACTCAGGTTTGGCATTTAAGAGAAGAACCACGGCTGGGAAAAGTGGGGGACAGGAGACAGTATAGTGCGTGAAGAGAACTGATTCTCAAAATGGGATCCCCTGGCTCATCGACATCATATGGGAACTAGTTAAAATCAGTTATAAAGGCACAAAACACAAAATAGCTGAATCATAAAATTCTGCAGGCCATGGCAACAATCTTGCCCTCTAGATGTGATGTTTGACTTTGAGAACACCTAATATAGAGCCTTGTAGGTCATTGCAAAAGCTTTGGATTTTATTATAGGGAGCTACTGGGTAATTTTTGAGCAGATTTAGTATTAAAGGGTCACTTTGCACTAGCTGCATTGTTGAAGATGGATTTTACAAAGTCAAGGGCAGCTACTGCAGGCTCCAGTTGAGAAGTCACTGGCTTTATAAGGGTGAAAAGGGTAAAGGTGATGAACAGTGGTTCCATTCTGAATGTATGTTAAAGATAGCACACGATTTGCTGACTAGCTCAGGAAGGTGAGTGAGAGGAGTAAAGGAAAACTGCAAGGTTTTTGACCTGAGCACCTGTAAAAATGATGTACCTCAGGAAAGGTACAGATTTTTTTTTAAAAAAAATAAGGGTGACTGAGCAGCACCCAGCCTGGTACCAGCCTGCTGCTGGCTAGCACTGGGCACCCCTGCCAGTGGGGGACCATGGTCTCTATTGAGAAAGCTCTGTGGAGATATGCTACTGCCAAGTTGGGTGGTATACTACTTCATCCTGTACTACACCGTTGGCCAAGACCCACACCATCCTTCCAGAAACAGTGGGTCCCTGCTGGGCTGCACCTTTTCCCAGACCTTGAAAAAACCTAAAGGAACCAATCTGTGGGATCAGCCCCCAGACCTCTCAGCACTGTCCTCTCCCCAAGGCTCCCAAGCCGCTTCCTCCCACCTCAAAAGGTACAGATTTGAAGAGTGGTTCTGGACATACTGATGAGTAGCTATATTAGCCTGCTTGAGTGCCATAACGAAACACCACAGACTATATGACTTGAAGAGTGAAACTTATTTTGTCACAATTCTGGAGGCTGGAAGTCCAAGGTTCAGATCCTGCTCTCTTCCTGGCTTGAAGAGGGCCACCTTCTTGCTACGTCAGGAACTCTGGTGTCTTTTCTTCACATAAGGGCACCAGTTTTGTCAGATTAGGGCCTCAACCATATGACCTCATTTAACTTTTATCACCTCCTCACAGGCTCCGTCTTCAAATACAGTCACGTTGGGAGTTAAGGCTTCAGTGTACGAATTCGAGGGACAATGCAATTCATAGAAGCAGCCTATTACATAAACAAAGGAAATGTCAAGCTGACAGTTGGGTGGAAGCCTGAAGTTCAGGGACCTAGAAATATATTTGGGAACTGCCATCATATATCTATGATATTGAAGCTATAGAACTGATTAAAGTTACCCAGGGAACAAATGTAGGTAAAGAAAATGTCTGGGAACATTTTACAGTGAAGAGGCTGGAAAATGGTGAATTCTTCAAAACCAGCTGAATGAAGAACAGCCAGCAAGATAGGAAAATCAGGAATCCTGGAAATCCTTTTATTCATCTCATTTCAGGGTCAAGGAAGTGATCTGCTGTGTTAGATGCTACTGATCAGCTAAGCAAATTGAAGACTGAGACTCAGCCACAAAATCTGCAATGTAGAAGATCGGTACTCAGATAAATGACCTTCAGTAAATTGAAGCTGTGTTGTTCCCTGCTCTAAATGAATTTTACTTTTCAAGAAATGGAGGAAACACCACTAAAACTTTCTTTTGCAGTTTTACATTTTCCCTCCGATTAATCATTTCCATGTGAAAACAGGGAAAACTATAGTGAAGGCTATTTAAATCATACCTAACACAACCCTAGCTATCTATATTATGGTTTATTTTTTCCAGGCTTTTTTTCCTGTGAGTAGGTGTTTTTTTAACACTAAGATGTTGCTTGGACATATAATTTTTTAATCTTTTTTTTTTTTAATCTTAACATAAGCTTTGTTTCAGTTCAGTCACTCAGTTGTGTTCAACTCTTTGCGACCCCATGGACCGCAGCATGCCAGGCCTCCCTGTCCATCACCAACTCCCAGAGTTTACTCAAACTCATGTCCATCGAGTCAGGGATGCCATCCAACCATCTCATCCTCTGTCGTCCCCTTCTCCTCCTGCCCTCAATCTTTCCAAGCATCAGGGTCTTTGCCAATGAGTCAGCTCTTTGCATCAGGTGGCCAAAGTATTGGAGTTTCAGCTTCAGCATCAGTCCTTCCGATGAACACTCAGGCCTGATCTCCTTTAGGATGGACTAGTTTGATCTCTGAGAAGGCAATGGCAACCCACTCCAGTACTCTTGCCTGGAAAATCCCACGGACGGAGGAGACTGGTAGGCTGTAGTCCATGGGGTCGTGAAGAGTTGGACACGACTGTGTGACTTCACTTTCACTTTTCACTTTCATGCATTGGAGAAGGAAATGGCAACCCACTCCAGTGTTCTTGCCTGGAGAATCCCAGGGACAGAGGAGCCTGGTGGGCTGCCATCTGTGGGGTTGCACAGAGTCAAACACGACTGAAGCGACTTAGCAGCAGCAGCAGCAGCAGCAGCAGTTTGATCTACCTACAGTCCAAAGGACTCTCAGGAGTCTTCTCCAACACCACAGTTCAAAAGCATCAATTCTTCAGCACTCAGCCTTCTTTATGGTCCAACTCTCACATCCATACATTGACTACTGGAAAAACCATAGCTGACTCTCAAAACCATACATGACTATTGGAAAAACATTCAAAAATTAATGTTTCATGACTATTTAAGGAAGTTCCAATACTTAGGCCACCTGCTGAGAAGAGCTGACTCATTGGAAAAGACCCTGATGCTGGGAAAGATTGAGGGCAGGAGGAGAAGGGAATGACAGAGAATGAGATGGTTAGATGGCATCACTGACTGGATGGACATGAGTTTGAGCAAACTCTGGGAGTTGGTGATGGACAGGGAAGCCTGGCAATGGAGTCGCAGAGTCAGACACGACTGAGCAACTGAACTGACTGAACTGAAGTTTAGTAACATATATGGACTTAAGAGTTGATGTTGGAATAAGACTTTGGGGGAAGTTGGGATGGGGTGAAAAGTTAGGGAAAGTTGGGATGGGGTGAAAGAATTTGGTACCTGGGAAAAATATGAATTTTCAGGAGCCATAGGGCAGACTGCAGTATGTGTTTCCCACAAAGATATTTTGAAATCCTAACCTCCAGTACCTCAGAATGTGACCTTATTTGGAAATTCAGTCTTTAGAGGTAATCAAGTTAAAACGAGATCATTACGGTGGGCCCTGATACTACATGACTGGTGTCCTTATTTAAAAAAAGAAACAGAGGGAGACCACCACATGAAGACAGGAGGCAGAGACAAGAGTTACAGCCACATGCCAAGAATGCCTGGGGCTACCAGAAGCTAGAAAGAGGCAAGGAAGGACTCCCCTACAGGTTTAAGGGGAAGCACGGCCCTGATACCTTGTGTGTGTTGTTATGTGTGCTTATGCTCAGTCATGTCCCACTGTGACCCCACAGACTGTAGACTCCCCCACCCTGCCAAGGCTCCTCTGGGATTTTCCTGGCAAGAATACTGGAGTGGGTTGCCATTTCCTCCTTCAGGGGATCTTCTGGACCCAGGAATCAAACTCATGTCTCCTGCACTGCAGGTAGATTACCACTGAGCAACCTGAGAAGCCCACCTTAACTTTGGCCTTATAGCCTCTACAGCTAAAACAAGCCAGCCAGTTTGCAGTACTTTGTTACAACAGCCCCGAGTACTGAACATGTAGAACTCAATTTGGGGCTTTTATAGATATATTTTAGCACATCTGCAATCATATTCCTACACACAAAACTGTTGGGCCAGAGGATATACAAGCCTCTAAGCCTTTTTACTTGGTATTGCTAAGCTGCCCTCTATGTGACAGTGTTAAATGATCTCCAATACTGTGGGAGTGTCCATTCTTTACCCTCTGACAGTAGGCTTTTTGTTTTCAGTCACTGTTAGTTCCTGATGGGTAATCGAAGTATCTAGAGAAATATGCCAGAGCATGTGTTGAGGAGAACCTTACAGACTTGTATCTTGGGAAGATTTAGTTGCAATGTTTCTAGGCTGTCTCCTAGAAAGTGATCAAATCAGGCAGAGGAGAGACAACAGTGTGTCCAAGAAGAGCTGTGGACAAAGCAATCACAGTGGAAATAAATATCAGCTTTATTAACACTCAAAGTGCCATTCATTTATATTCATTCCATAGTCCAGAAGGTTACTTAGAGTAAGCCTTTGCACCACAATCTTTCAAAAAATGAACATGTAAGAAAAAGCAATTTTCATTGTGCTAATTATTGCAGGCCTTCATGCACGATAAATCTAAACAAAGATGTGTGCCAACAATATACAAATTTCCATATAAACAAAGTCATTGATCACTAACAAAATATAAACATGGTTTCTTTCACATTAGATTTAAAAAAAAGCTATTTACCAGCAAGAAAAAACAAGTACATAAAAACTGTAAAACTCAGAAATTTTATACATTTTTACAAGCACAATTTTGAATGAACACAAAGTCAAATGTGCATGAAATGTGGCACATACCACACTGGTCTGGCTTCTGGTAGGTTTTTCTAATCATATCGGCTCCTTATAACATAAGCTTAGTGACATTCAACTTCAACAGTGGACTCTATTCCTAACATAAGTAATTTTACATGATACCGCATATTAAAAACAAGGTTTTCCTTAAGTACAACAACCTTGTCAGATTGGAAATTTAATTCCCAATTCCTTTTCTGCCAGTTACTTAAAATACAAAATATGGTATAAAGAGACAATAATGTATATTCGGACATTTCTAAACCAATTTATAGTCAATCACAGAGAATCACAATTTTTCGATATATTGTTTTATGAGTGAGGTCTGACCTTGCCCAGAAAGAAGAAAACTGAAAGTGAAAATCTTTGGGGTAGAATAAAAGAAATATTCAAAAACAGTAGGACAGGCCAACAGCAACTGGAGATATAAAAGCCTTGACATCTCTTCAAGATAATTTAGTTTCTCACATTTTTTCATAGCTCTGAGAATTCAAAGGCTGTTTTAGTGGACAGTGTTTTTGCTACTGCTTAAAACTTATTTTTTTCTCTTAATTTGCATTTCATAGGATTCTCAATGAGAATTCAATGTTCTCTGCAAGAGTATTTTAATTGACAGATATCTAAGTAAATCTGCAATCAACTGTGGAAATACAAATACATTTTGAATGGTAAAAACAAAATTAAGAAAATAGTTTTGATCAGCCAGCTGAAAATATATTCATATAGTAAATAATCTCTCAGAAAGCTTTATATATATTTAATTATTCTAACTAAACAGTACCCTTATAAAACAAGTTCATAAAAATGTAGAAATGAAAATAAGAAATTACTGGGATATATACACGTACCTACAGACAGAAAAAGACATCTCCGCACACACATCCCCCAATACACAGAGTTACAAGCATACTTTCAACTTAGTCATGGATTTTAGAATACATATAAAATCAGAAAGTGATGTTGAACTCCTGAGTTCTCAACAAAGATAGAACCATAGCTAAGTATACTTTGTAAAAGCATGAAAGTCCATCTAAATCAGTAACAGCAATGCAGTCACTGATGGCTGCATCTTGAAAGAAGTTTAAACATAGAGACACAGACAGTAGTTCAATGCACGCATTCACGATGCTCACACACCCATCAACAATTATTGGTCAGAGTAGTAAATCAGTGTACAAATTAAACATTTCCAAAAATGTGCAAAAAAGTCAACCTTGATAGGAAAAGAACACCTCTGTACATAAACTGCCCAGCATTTAACTGAGATTAAAAACATTTACAGAGAGAAACTAATAGATTAAATATAGAGAATTTAATGGCTACATTTAAAAATGTACATTAGGTCAAAGGGTAAATTTACAAATTGATAATCAGAATTTGCAACAATTAAAAGTTTATTCTCATATTTATCCAAGTTTACTTTTATTTACAACGATATTTGAATAAAAAGAACCATGTGAAATGTAAGAGATGTCAGACATTAAAAGTATTTTTGGTATTAACTCTTTTATAATATTTCAGAATGCAGGGTAGCAAATTTTAAAACCAACAGCAATAGAAAAAATGTAAACCTTTTACTTACTAAGATTGTATTAAAAACAAGTGTTTGTTTTTAAAGAAGTATTCTTATCCTTAGACACTGCACTTTCACTTGAACAGGGTATATTGCAAGGGTTTGGCCTACTTTCTTTTGCCCATAAACCTTTCCAGCTCAAATGTTTCCACTTGTTCTTTCTTATTCCAGGTGGAAAAAAAGTCTTTGGAAAAATGAGAACATGACAAATCTATTTTGAAGCCTAAGTGTCTAACAGAGTTAGACGTAATTTTGTTATTTCTCTCTCTCCTCCAAGCAATGCTAATGCTAAAATCACCAACAGTTAGCTACACAAATAAGTGAAGACAAAAGTGCTTTTCAGTATAGTCACAAACTTTACTGTCCTCAACTGGCATTAAGGGACTTAGAAATCCTACTTAGGGACAAAATTCTGCATGTATGCTGGACAGCAGACTTGTCCTTATCTTCCAAAATGTCTATGGCACAAAAAGTCCATAACCTACTTTTCTGCACAACTTTCCTGAAATGCCCCTCAAGTCAAACACAAGTTCATAAATGTCAAGACACTAGGAAGAAAGTACGCCACCAACCTGAGGCATCGTGTATCAATGTGTATGTATATGCATCTATGGTCAAGTGACATTAAGATTGGCACGTGTACAAGCTCAAGTTTGTAATGTCCATATAGTTCCATAATAGTTGAAGTAAATTCTGTATGTCTAAATGCAAACACCAAGCACCTGTCCTTTAACTTGAAGGATAGATTGAGATACAAATTCTACTAGTACCTGTTTTATCATTTTTATACTATTAGCTTACAATTGGGCAGAAGTAACAGTGCTAATCATTTTGGCTATGTGTGCAGAGAATATAAAAGCTTTGGTTTAAAATGATTCTGATAATACAGACTGTAAATACAAACAAGTCATTAGGCATAGGGAATAATAGTACTCACTGATTTAACGCCTTTTCTGTTATTAACAAAAATAGCATTACTGTCAATTAAAACGCACAATTTTGAAAAATATGAAGAATTACATGAGACTGTAATACAAGCAAAGATAAAATTTATTCTTTACTATAGCTATGACTCCTCCCTCAACTTTCTGAAACTAAACCATGTCCACTCTCACTACAACCGAGAGAAGGTTCTCTAAACTCCCCTAAGAGCACACTACCCGCTACAGCTCTGAAAGGTGAAAACAGAGTCGCTAGGCATACTTCCACACCTATTATGGCATCCTGTCCAGATTGCGGCAGAAGTCAAAGCAAAGCTAAAGACGACTATCAAGTAGGAACAGTAGCTTCACAGCACGCCTTCCCTAGCCAACCAAAAAGAGGTATAAAACAATTTCCTTCTGAACACTTGGTAAGCTAAGGATGCTTGTTTTGATAATGTCTGGCAGAATTTCTATTCCAAAGAGCTCATGAAGAACTATGCAAAACCAATTACTATTTAGGAATTATATATAAGCTATTATACACACATACAAATTCAATTTTAATCTACTTTTAGCAACCAAGAGCTTGGCAATTTACAATAAATACCTTTATTAAACAACTGTTTGTACTAGCTACTTGTGGAAAATGTGCTGGCATTCCAACATCAGTAGGTTATACATATTTAAATTGTTCTTCCAAGAACAGAGACTAATCTAATTGGACATTCACACCTTTCCTTCCTTCCCACCCCTGCCCCAACTCCACACACACACACACACACACACACACACACACACACACACACTCACTCTCTCTCTCTCTCTCTCTCTCTCTTCACAGAAAAGCTAGAGTTTTAGTCAAAATGCTAGCTTAAAAGTAAGGATTAGAATTTGCAATCCCTGGATTTCTTGCTCATTGCCCTAAGTCTCACTGCCTTAATATTTGTAAACCATTTAAATGACTTCTTTAGGACAAAAACCACCATTCCAGTTCTTCTTTGAAAATTGTAACTGAACCATGATATGCAAAGAATTTGAACAGTGCCAATGTGACTGAAAAATCAAGTAATCAACCTGGAAAATAATTTACTATGTCTCTTTAGAATTAAAATATCTCTTTCTATCCTTATCTTAGAAATTTGTGTCTAGTAAAACTGCAATGTGTCTATCACAAAACAATGTTAATGTTTCTCTTCTAACATATTTTTTAAAAAAGAGGTAGAAAAGGATAGGAGGAAGCAGGCATTAAGAAAAGTTTAATGGCCAGTACACAGTCTAAGGCCAAATGAACTCCTGAAGCCTACTGATTTTGGAGAAACTTTCATTTCGGTGGGTAATGTGAATTATTATTGATATAAAACAAAATTAAGGCATACAGAGAAAAAGGCACTACGAAAAATTAACAATTAAACTGCTTTTCATTAACATTTTAACCAATCTTAAGATTAAAATAAATATGAACATTACATTTGTAACAAAGGCCAAACTTCATATAAAACAGTAAAATCTCAAGAAATTTTCCTGATCTTAGTATAAATAACACTGTTGGCAGAATTCAATTTCTATCAAATATTTTGGGTATTTTAATAATTCAGACCAAAAGAAAATATTCTTTTCTTTAAAAGAAAAAAGCAGGGGGAAAAAACTACTATGTAATGGAATAAATGCCCCCATCACTGGAACTGTCTGAACAGAGGCTGGGTTTTCAGAGGGAGTCCTGAGCGAGAGGGTGCCTGACATGTGTAGATCCCTTCAACTGGGTGCTTCTATTGTCTGTTGTTCAGTTTATAACAGCCGACGGTCACCCAAAATCGCTTTCCCCTCACCTCGTAAGTAATAACAGTTTAAAACATCATTGATAAACTTTTCAGAGTTAGGATATGTCAAGAAAACAACTGTTTGCCCATTTTTTCCTCCTAGACTGTGACCTCCTTAAGGACAAGCTAATTTAATACCTGACATAGTAAGTCACAATATTGAATAAGTAAATGAAGAAGACTCACCATGTTAAAAAAAATTTTGATAGATCCCTATACTTGGCTGATACTAGGTGATTTTATATCGAACTATTGGTCCCAAATTAAATCACTGACAAAGATCTCTGCTGTAGGCCAAGGAGTCTGCATCTGGCAAATGTCTTTGCTTTTGCTCCCAAGCTTGGTTGTCCCTATAAACTATTCAAATTTTATTTTCTCAGTAATTTCATGTACCTTATTATACTTCCATCTCAGAAATATTACACACCAGACCTGACATATACAAGAGCTGAAGTAGCAGAGAAAGCTACTCTAAAGAAATAATTTCACCTTTAAAATGTAGCTTCTATTGGAAATAAGATAAAGACTCCTTCAAAGCCAATTCAATTTACTATGAAGTAAGTTTTAATTTTTCTTTTATAGTTCAGCCTGTGCATTAACATTTCAATCCATATAAATTATGTAAGGTTGTCATGCCTTTGAAAACTTTCCAAGGCAGTAGTCTTCAACCGTTTCTCAGGTTAGAAACATGTTTTGTAAATGAGGAAAATTAAAGATCGTCATATTGAAACTTTCCAAGTCTGTATATTTTAAAATACATTTTATAGAATTATCATCAAAATTTCTATTAGTCATTATGATATTTTTCAACTCTTTTATTCAATATAGTCTGTGTGCAATGTAAAAGATCTTGTATTTGGTCCAAGCCTAAGTCATGCCATATTGAATCTCTCAAGGCCTAAGTAGAAAGGTATATCCTGAAAAGCACATAAAACACTGCTAGTGAATCTTCTCCAGCACCAAAAAGTCTGCCACTATCAAAGCAGAACGCATTTTAAAGGCACAAAGTTAGCAGTGTGGTCATTTTCCAGCCTCAGCAAAGAAACATTACAGTATAGAAGAATCAGGTTGTGCATTTAAAAAACAAAACACATTTATAGTCATCCTAAAAAGTTCAAATTTCATTTGTTGATCCATATCATTATTAGAAAGAAAAAAAATGGAGTGTTATATTTAACAGCCCCTGACAGATGTGTTTCCTTTCAAAATTTTCTTTTTTAAATTTAATTTTGATCTTACCATACCTCACCCCACTTTAAGCTTTTTCGTTCTAGTAGTTTTTATATATATTAACTTTTTGTGGTTTTTGGTACCTTTAACAACTTGTATGAAATAAATTCACATCACATTTTTATATAACTCTGTAAACTATTAGTCTATTCTTAAGTCTTTACATAAAGAACAATACTTTTCCATAGCTAATAATATTTTTCTTATAAAACAAAGGTCTTATGCAGCAGTGTTAACATAGTAGTTTCTTTTCCGGTGATTTTATTTTCTATAGCATTTTGGAAATAGAGACTGAAAAAGGCAAACATTTTGCTTTGGGTTTCACAGTTTCCCAAGGTTTCTCTTTAAAGAGCACTTGCCTCATATTCTGCACTGCTGATTACCCTGACAGACCAAAACTGAGCCAAAAGGAAATCACAAGCACACAACACAAAGGAAGGAAAAGCCCACTGGTCCAGATACCACGGTCTTGCTCAAGTAGAAGAGATGCCTTCACTCGTAAAAGATGAAGAAATTATAATAGATCCACATCCTTGGGGACTATGTTTATAGCACAAGATTTGGCAGTTGATTTTCTGAGGGGTGGGAGGTAGGCTACTCATTCATGTTTTTCCTTGCAAGCTGTTTCCTTTCATTATATGGGAACAGGAGAAGCTTTAACAGCTGTATTTGTGCTTCGACTTCTTCTCAGACTAGCTAGTGGAATTGCAAATATTCCTACAGGGAATGCCAGATAGGACCTTGATACAGTAAACCAACATCTACTCAACTTCAGAAACAAAATATTTTAAAAGAGTTCCTAAACAAGCATACTTTTTAGCAGAACATAAAATACCCAAGTCCCTTATGAATCCCATGAAAGGCATCACATTGAGGGCCTCCAGGAAGAATACTACTTTCTAGACCCTTGAAGTACTTAGCCCTTGCTTTAATATGCTGAAAAAATTGCAAGTGGCCAAACCACTGACATCATTCATGTTTTTCAGTAGCACAAGTCCATCAGAGATAGTGGGAGTTTCCCAGTAGTCTCTTTCTGCTTAATGTCCTTGGCTCTTATGCTAGAAATATCTGGCAGTTTTTAACCTTCGTTTAAAGTAGTTAATACTTTGTTTTAATATGCCTTTCTTTTCCCACAATTATGAATGAACTGACTTCCAAGGAAAGAATACATACATACAGATGACTGAATTCAATAGGCTCCATGTTTAATTTCCAAAATGAAAGTTACTAATTTGGGTGCAATATGCAGCTGGTAAGAAAAGGGTTGTTCTTTGCTGTTTGTATAGATCATTCACCCTTGACTTGAAGTAGTGACTATCTGCTCTTGTAAAACCCTCATTATGCACTATATCACTCTCTGAAATTTACTTTTTGCAAGGAACCTGCTTTGTATATAGGCATTTTCGGTTTATAACCAGGGCTAGTATTTATCTCAGGGATTCTCAGCTTCAGCACTTTTAATATTTGGGGAGGATAATTCTTTGATGGGGGAAGGGAGGTGCTGTTCTTGTGTATTTTAGTTTGCTTAGCAGCATCCCTGGCCTCTAGCATCCTCTTTTTTATGACAACCAAAAATGTCTCCAGGCATTGCCAAATGCCTGGTAAAATTATCCCCACCCCAGCCATGAAAACCACTGTTTTACACAGTAACTGTTTTTTGAGGTACTTTAGTACTCTGTGATCCAAAGAACAAGGGTTTTATCTCAGGACATTAGCTTTTAAGACATGGATACTCCAGGTTAAACTCTTAGTTCCTAGAGAATGTTTATCTATGGGGAATCAGGAGCTAGAATCAGAAAGATACAGTATATATGACTTTATTTCTCCTTTCCCTTAATTTTGGGACTTCCCCCTCAGGTAAAGAACACAGTTTAAAATACACTGAACAACACTCAGTTCTCTTCATTATTTCTGTTGACTGGCAAATTTGGTCTCTTCGACTCGCACACATTTAATTAGAGCAGTCTTCTATCTTTTAATTTGGATTTGCTTACTGACTTCATATATCTGCTTTAAAATAAAACAGTATCCTTTTTTTTTTTTAAGCAGAAAGCTATCCCTCAAGGTTTATAGATTCCAGTAATATGGATCTATTATAGTGTATTTGCTTATTATACTGGTTAGGATTAACAAATAAACATACCTCTAGAGATTCATATTTTCTATCAAGATTCCTACTGAGCAAAAAGCTTGGTAGACAGAGGTTAGGATCTAAAGAATACAGATACAAGAAGGAACCTATATTCTTTTAGTTGAGTACCTATCCTAAACTCAAGTTTAGGGCTCAACCCCACAAACAAGAATCTATTTTAAATACTATCACTAAAAACTACAAATTATACATCATTTTTCTCTTCTTGTTTTCCGTGTCTCCCCATCACTGCCAATCTGTCAGTGACAGGGAAAGACTCTACAATCTTTAGGTATTCCAATGATTTTTTTGTACTAAAAAGAGTGACTATGTACTAAAGTGCTGTATGTCTCTGAACCACATCAGTACATAATAAAAATTAAAAAAAAAAGTTTCAAGTTCTTGTAAGGGAAAAAAAGATTAAATATAAAAAATTTAGGTTACTATTATTATTAATAATCAAATTTAACCAAGAATCAAGAGAAACACTTTTCCCTCTTGTCTTTTTTTTCCTCCCCCATCTCTCTTTTTTCTAAAAAAGAGAAAGTGCAGTCAGAGAGAAGGTGAATGGACAGATGGGAACTGGGCAGAGGCACAGGAGAGGCTGCCAGCCGCTAGTGACAGTGCACAAACATGTGTCTCAGAAGGTCGTCAGCGGACGGTCTCAGCTTGGCCTCTACAAAAATCCGTTTGAGGAAATCTCGAGTGTAGTCTGAGACGTGAGGTGGCAGCTTTGGGTTCGTTGGCTGAGTGGCGATTTTAAAGATGGCAGCCATCGCTTCAAACTCGGCCCAAGGAGGCTTTTCAGTTAGCATTTCTACCACAGTACAGCCCACGCTCCTGAGAGGGGAGAAAAAAAAAACTTACACAAACAACATCATCATGAAGGTCAGTTACCTACCTATGAAATGAGAAACGTGTGAAGTTCATATACATTTAAACACGACTTGGTTTCAAGGGTAAACTTCATTACAAGGCTGTGATTACAGACAACCGTAACTGAGGTCAAGGCCCTCGGCACCCCTTGTGGAGCTGCTGGGCTCTGAGGCTGACATTCTACATGCCTCTGAAGGGCTCCTGCTCTGGACTGTCTGTATCCCCAGCAGCCCTGAGGGGTCTTGGAGCCACTGTGAAGCACCAAAAGGACGCAGCGGTGACTGAGGCCTCAGCTGGCCCGGGACACCTGCTCCCAGGCACCAGGCCCCCTCCCAGTCTGGAGGAGAATCACGGAGGGACAAACGGAGACAACCGAGAGAAGAGCGCTTCAGGGCAAGAAGGATGTAGTTCAGGTCGACTGACATGGAGACCTGACAGAAGGAGCTGAAGAAAACAGGGTTTTTAAATTTGAGAAGACATTTTTAAGTGAATTTATGTAATCTTAAGGAAACATCTTTTTCCAAACTTGGTATCAATCCCAAACCCAAACAATGAGAAAAAAGTTGTTTTAAAGATAAATATGCCTGTAGTCACTACTGAAGTCCCCAGTACGGATCTGTCAGGGATATAGTGCAGTTATAGGAAAAGTATTTTACGTATGCAGTCTTGAAGAAAAATTTATGTTTTGAGTCTGCATTTCAATGAATTCTGACAGCTATAGAAATAGATGGGAAAAACTCAAATATTATTCTTGTTGTACCGAAAAGTTAAATTTGTGGTACATGAAATGAATAGTTTTATAATAACTGTTACTAATAAAATGCCTTTTAGTGCATTACATTGACTTTTAGCTGAGCCAACAGCCAACTTAAACATCTATGCAAACTTTAAAAAGTGCTGTTCTTTTCGAAAGCTGGTACTGTCTTAGAAGAGCTTTCTAAATGTAAAGTAGTGAGAATTGTAGCATATAATACATTTGTATAACTTTCAATATTTGATGTCTGTTAAACTCCAATCTGGGCAATCAAAAACGGATAAAAAATAATGAGATATCAATTGGTGCTTCCCTCCTCCTCTTGCTAGGATAAAAGAAAAGAAATTTACCATATTTATTTTTTTAACTTTGTGCTTTCAAATTGCTTTGAAGGCATGGTTTTTATTGCTTATTACTTTAGACTTGTACTTCTCAAACCTGACAACACTTCAGAAATCTTTGCCTGGGCCCCACTCTTGAGATACTCACATATAATTGTTCTGAGATGGACTCTGGGTATAGCTAAATTTTTAAGCACTAATCCTCCTCCTCCCCTCCATTTCTCAAATGTGTGGATAGGTTTGAGAACCACTAGACTAACAGGTTAAATTTTTCCTATTTAAGGGAGATAATCAATCTAAAGCAATACCTTTAGTTTTGTTTCTATATGGCTCTGTTGATGGCTTTGTTACAACTAAATTACTGTGCTATTATCTTGTTAAAAAAATACACAGCTTATGTTTGAACTAAAAACAAAAACCCAAACCTGTCCTTCAAACACAAAAATCAATGAAAACAAACTGCAATTTAAGCTCTCAAATTTGTTAGGCACAGAATATTATTCGTAAGTTTTGCTTGATATAATTCTCTAGCCTGCCACTGAATGTAAGTGTTTTTTTGTCTTTATCTTACAAAGAATAGCAACATTAGAAATTCTCTGTCTTTAGGTGTCTAAAATGAGTACCTATTAAAAACTTTACTCAAAAGAGCTCATCTAAGTAGCTGGGGCTGAGAAGCAGGCAGGAGAGACTCTAGAGCCGCACAATGGAAAGGGTGTAGAGAGCTGCTAACCTCTCAGGGTGCCCAGGCTCAGGCTCAGAGGCTGGCGGGCAGCGAGAACTGGATTAAGGAGAAACCAGAGTGACCGTTAGTGAACAGCGAGAAGAGGACAGAGACTCCCCGCACTGCCTAGCTCTGCAGTGGTCACAGAGGGAAACCTCCTCTTCCCCACTTCAATAGATACAATAAACACCAAAGGAAAAACCCACTTTTCTCAATGGGAAGTAGGAAATGACCGTTTTATGCTCTAACTTAAAATTATTAAGCAATTAAAGGTTAACTGAATTATAAGACTAACAATAAAGATTAAGTATTTTAAAAGTTCATCCGGGAAATAAAATGAAGACAGTTTTCTAATGCTGAAATTTGCTTAAGATGAAATCCTTCCTAAAGAATGAAAAAAATGATTCGAAAGCTCTATTTATTTGGTCAGTTATTAAGCCTCAAAGGGCATAATTAAAATGATATCAACCCTTGTAATCCTGACATCCTATTTCAAAAGTACAAAAAAGAATTAAAGTTCATTTCAATAAGTTCCATCCTGAGTGGAAATATGTTAATAAGGTATGTGTTTTCAGGCAAATCCCACATCAAAACCTACCAGATATCTGCTTTTCTGCCATAGCCTTCTCCACTAATCACTTCAGGGCTCATCCAGTATGGTGTGCCTGTGACAGACTTCATTCCCGTCCCTGAAAGACAGATGGTTTGAAGCCGTTTGCTGGCCCCAAAATCTCCTAGTTTGACGTTGCCTGTTGAATCTCGCAGAATATTTGCACCTAAAACAAGAAATACCCTCATTTCATTATTTTTATTGACAATCTAGAATATAACATAAAAGAAAAAGGCAGAAAATTACTCAGACTCTTCAATCTGTCTCCAAAATCAGGCTGCTTTGCACCTCTGAATAGTACCTGGCATAATGCCAGGCGTAAAGTCAGTGTATATTAAAGATTTCTTATATGGAACAACGAAAATTTAGTGTCACTGTGTGCTTCAGGACCTAAGAAAAGGTTCTCCCACTGAAAAGGGCTGGTGCAAGTGGGAGGGGAAAAGGACTAAGAAGTTCAAAAAAAAGGAACGGGAAGTTCAGAGAAGGATGATGAAAGCAATAGCAGGCTCCTGGCCATGGCCTCTCTGTTATAAAGCAAGAAGCCCATGTCTACAGGATTATTTCCCTGGAACCTAGCATCTCCTAAAATTTCATTTGCTTCTATAACAAACTTTTAACTTTATTATAAACTAACCAGGATTGCTGAGCTGAGAAAGTGTTCACAGAGTCCTCCACTGTAAAGTTACTCTTTCCCCCCTTCCATACGAAGCTCTCTGGAAGAAGTTCACTATGTATAAGGGAGTGAGAAATTATGTTCTAGGCTTAGTAGTTACATATATTATTTGGAATTATTCTGCATGGGAGATTTGTCTCTTCTTTCCTATTTATTCAACCATCCATTTCTATCAATCTGAATATGTGAATATTTATTTTTTACTTTGAGTTATAAACCAATGACTTTATTACTATTTTTGTTTTGGCTCATGTCGTTTACAGCTTTGTCCATTGGGAGCCCTCTCTATTGGCTCCTGTGTCCCTCTGCCATAACTCAGTCACTGTGTCTTGCTTGGCTGGACTTCTGGACTGTTTACTGTTAGCACTGTCTTACGTTCTAGTGCTAGAGGATGCACCATGCTCACTCTGTGCCTCCTGCACCAGGTCTATAATCGGCCACTGCTCCAAGGAACACTAGTTCCTCTTAGTGGAGAATGGTATCAGAAACCAACAGACTGGGAGCTAAGTGCATTTATTTTTATTCTCTATTTTCCCCTTTATCATTCTTTAAACTCAATCTTTTTTCTAGGATTATAAGTCTAGTTTCTTCATATATAAATTACCTCTAAAAAACTACCTTTTTCTTTTTTAGCAGTTATATATATTATTTGGAATTATTCTGTGTGGGAGATTTGTCTCTTTTTTTCCTACTTATTCAACCATCTATTTCTACCAGTGTGAATACATGGATATTTATTTTGCACTTTGGTTATAAACCAATGACTTTACTATTTTTTTTTTTGCTCATGTTGTTCCAGCTAAGTTGCTGTTTTTAAACAAGCAACTAATTTTATTGACTTACCGAATTTTAGTTTCTAAACTTTACCTAAAATCTTCCTAACCTTCAGGATATTTTAGATTAAAAAAAGATTCCTTATCTGTCTTCTTCTTCTTCTTTTTTTTTTTTTAAATCAGCCTCTAAGAAGGAATGCGAATAGTGGATAAAAACCTATATTATAGACTGGAGAGAACGCAAACCGTCTATCCCCACCACGAACTTCTGGCCCAGTCTTCTGTTCTCCCAGCAAATCTCCCAGTCTAGTCAATTAAGGCCTGTCTTGAGGGGAGAGTCAAGGATTCGTTCTCTGCATGCAGAAGCCAAAGTATGCCTTGGTACCAGTGATTCTCTAAAACAGCACTGCCTTTTTGACACCTCTTGCTGTTCAACACTTAAAGAAGGACTCTGTCAAAAAAGAAAACACACACACACACACACACACACCACTGTGTCTAAAATATTTAAGCTGGGGAAGGACAACCAACAAGCCAGTTTTTAACGGGGACTACCTGGGCAGAAACAGTCCCAAACAGGTTACAGACAAGGAGAGCTATCTCTGGGGAATCATCACCAACGCTGAATCAATGCCCAGCCATACAAAGGGCTGAGGAGAAAATGTATATAGCAGGTTCCCAATACAGTTACCTAACCTTTTAAAAACTTACTTTGGATATGTTAAAAGTAAATGGTTAAGGAGACTTTTCAAATACACACAAAAGCAGACAGAATACTGCATGACCCCCTCATCCAATCCCAGCAATCATCTGGGCAACCTCTTCTAACCACACTACTAGCCACTCCTTCCCTTCATATTATCTGAATCAAATTAAAGACATCATGATCAATAAACAGTTCAGTACACATCTTTAAAAGACAAGGACTCTTATCATACATAAGACAATAATTCCTTGATGTTATTAAATATATACTCAGTGTTTTGGTGGTTTTTTTTTTTTTAGTATTTTTTTCAAAAAAATATGAATGCTAAGAAAGACCTTATGTTGAGAATCACTGATACATCTTTTAAGTCTTTCCTAAAGTTCCTTCCAACCTTTTTTTTTTAATTTACAGTTTATGAAGAATCTAAGTTGTCTGCCTATAGCTTTCTTATTGTCTAGGTTTTGCCAAGTTCATCCTAAGGAGTCATTTAACATGCTGATCTGTTCTCTATAAATGTTCCATAATTTTACAATTTGGTAGCTGAATCTAGAGGCTTGATCAGACTCAGGTTCAAAAAGAACTTGGCGGGGGGGGGGGGGTAGTAGGAAACTGCTTTGTAGATATAGTCTACAAATAGGAAGCATGCAATGACAGACTGTCTCTGTGAGGTGACGTTAGCAACCATTAATGTTTAATGCATGTATCTATTAATCCCATTAGTAGTTGTAAAATGGTACTATTCTATCATTCCCTCTTTGTTAGCCAAAATATTTGTATAAAGGTCATTCTCTATTTAGTCCTCAGTAGTAATAGTTCATAAAAGAAAAGTCAAACAAAGAAATCCTATTATGAAATAACGAGCTGGTTCCCTACTTTTCATTATGAACTCATATGAGTCTAAACTTAAAAGTAAGCAACTACCTTTCCTTTTGCCTTGCCATTTAAACACTGCTCATTCTGGGACTTCCCTGGGGGTGCAGTGAGTAACAATTTGCCCGCCAATGTAGGGGACACAGTTCGATCCCTGGCCTGGCAAGATTTCATATGCAGCAGAGCAACTAAGCCCATGTACAACCATGAGCCCACGCGCTACAGCTACTGAAGCCTGAGCACCTGGAGCTGGTCCGCAACAAGAGAAGCCACAGCAATGAGAAGCCCGAACACCACAGCGAAGAGTAGCCTCTACTCACCGCCAACTAGAGAAAGCCCATGCAAAGCAATGAAGACCAAGAGCAGCCAAAAATAAATAAATAATAAAAGGTTTCTCTTTAATTAAACAAAAAGTTCATTATAAAAGTTTAAAAATACATAAAAAGTAAAAAATATGAAGGAAATAAACAATTACCACTCATCCTGCTACTTGAAAATAACCACCATTAATCATGTGAAAATTGTTCTACATCATACTTTAATTTTATAAACTTGAGATCATACTACATATTCAATTTTATATCTTACATTTTTCTTATCAATATATTCCCCCTATAATGTTTTTCTGTCTCTGTTTGTGTTTTTCTCTTTAAACTTTTTTTTAAGGGGTCTCAAATTCTGTGACAGATTTTTGGTCAAGTTGTTTTCATTAAAAAGTACTGATTTTTAAAACTAATAAACTGCCACACACAAAACATATGGTCCACAGAAACATTCTCCTTTCCTTCGGCAGGTTTTACAATGCACTGTTATCATTAACTAGTCTTTGACTATTACTTAAATGGCCAATTGAGACAAACAGTCCTGAGATGGCTCTTCCACCGCTGATTAAGACTGGGGTGGCAGGTACTAGGGGTAATATTCATTTAGCCCTCTGAGCTTTTTGGGCAGACCTGGTGATCTCACCAGCTCCAGCTCTCTTCTTGTCCACTGCTTTGATGATACCCACAGCGACTGTCTGTCTCATGTCACAAACAGCAAAATGGCCCCTTATAATGTTTTTAAATCAGCTTGCTTCCAACTTCCTCATGTTACTGGCAAGGTCAGAAGAGGATCCACTTGAGCAGGTAGCTCCCCTCGGTTCCTTTACCTTATCTTATTATGAAGGTGAAAGAGAAACTGGCTTGAATAGATTATCACTAATAGAATAACTCACAAATCATTTCCCTACAAAGTATAGGGAATATACTTAATTGAAGTATACTTGACCTACAACACTATGTTAGTTCTATGACGTGCAATACTGTGATTCAATACTTCTATACATTATAAAATGGTCACCACCTTATGCAGTTCTTGGCTTTCAGGTTTTGAACTTGACATCTAGGGTCTGCCTAAGCAGGGAAGATCTTGAGGTGAAAAGCAGGCTCCTATTTCTTTCAGATCTTGCGTCACATTGCCATCCTCTAAGAGTCACTAGGCAGGTCCATTCTGTACATGTGACCCAGCTCCAGCAATCTGCAGCAGATTCTACTCTGGGACCAACACTGGTTAGGAATGTCCTCTTTAGTCTGGTTATGGCCATCTTCAGGGTGTGACACACCGCAGGAAAGAAGTAAATTCCTGGTAGCTCATAAGAGCCCCAGAAAGACTGATGAAAAACTTTTTTAACTTGTTTATCAAAGCTCAGTCTTAGGCTCTCTTATTCTCTTAAGTAATGACGTCCATTTCCCACAGCTTTAAATACAATCTCAACATACATCATCATTGTAACTAATTTTGAGTGCTTTCTAGATACCAGGCATGATTTTAAGGATGCTATCTATACACATTAACTCATTTAATCCTTATAAGAACTCTGTGATCTGTACACTGTTACCACCCTCCTTAAAAATGAGGAGCTGAGGATTACCCTGGTGGTACACTGGATAAAAATTCACCTGCCAACTCAGGGGACATGGGTTCAATCCCTGATCAGGGACGATTCCACATGTCTCAGCAACTAAGACCATGTGCCACAACCATTGAACCTGTGTACCTAGAACCTGTGCTCCAAAACAAAAGAAGCCTGTGCACCTCAACTAAGAGCAGCCCCTGCTCGCCACAACTCAAGGAAGTTCGAGTGCAGCAACGAAGATCCAGATCAGCCAAAATAATTTTTACAAATACGAGGAGCCGAGGCATAGAGAAACTAAGTGTCTTGTCCACATTACACATGTGGTGATGGATAAAGCCTGAGTTTGAACTGGGTCAAATTTGAGCCCCTATTTTTTTTCTTAATTTATTTTTAATTGGGGGACATTTTACAATCTGTGTTGGTCTCTGCCATACAACAACATAAATCAGCTATAACTATACATATATCCCGTCCCTCTTGAATGTCTCTCCCAGCCCACCCCTCTATGTCATCACAGCTCCAGGCTGTGACCACTGTGTTACACTGCAGCTTCCCACTGGCTGTCTGTCCTACACCTGGTGATGTGTATGTTTCAATGCTCCTTTCTCAATCTGTCCCATCCTCTCCTTACCCCAAAAGCCCCGATTCTTAGCCACTATGTTCTGAGCCTATGCACTGTGTATGAAAATATGTCTCATTCATTTGAACTTTACTGGTTCTATGAACCTCCACAGGAGAGCTTCCCTCTTGTAGAAACCTGAACAACAGGACTAGCTGGAATTGTTTTCCTATGGCATTGTAAAGGTAGATGAATTAATTTAAATGTTAAATTTCTTAAAAACAGCACATTTTCATTAAAAAAAAACAACTGAGTACTTGAAAAACACCTCATTGCTTACCTTTTATATCTCTATGAACAATCATATTGCTGTGCAAATAATGAACTCCCTCAAGAATCTGACGGGTGTATTTCCTGGTCACATTCTCAGTAAGAGCTCCATATGCTTTTAACTGGTCCTTAATGGAGCCCTAGGAAAAAAGAAAACAAAACTATAGTATGGTTTGAAAGGAAAAGTACTGGTAAATATTTTTAAGATTTGTGTACCTATATTTATCTATTATTCTTATTAACTGAATGAAGTGTTCTTTATTTATTTGAAGTTTAGTTGACATACAATGTCATGTTGGTTTCAGGTGTATAACATAATGACTCCACATTTAAATACATTACAAAATGATCACCACTATGATCATTCCTGGTAACCATCTACCTCTGTACAAAGTCATTACAGTATTATTTGACTATACTCCTTATGCTGTATATTATATCCCATGACTTATTTATTTAAAACTAGATGTTTTAATTTGGAGAATCCTAGTTAATGACTAGAAGGCTTTAATTGGAGAACACAGGAATTCTTAGGAACAACATTATATGCTATTAATTTAACACAAAACTCTACTATATTTCTGGACTGGAACTGTGAAAGAATAAGTGGCATAGCTGAAGGAAGCATTTAAATTATTTTTTGACTGATACCCTTGTTTCTGTTACTGCGCTGGTTCTATCTCCTGTTCCCTTGCAATTAGTACAATTTTTAAAATTCTCCAGTACCTTTGTCTTGTTTTTGCCCTGAAAACATTTTTTTAAAAATTTTCCTATTTGTTCTTCTATATGTGTCCTACTTTAAATTTATTTACTTTGTTCTTACTTTGTTTTTACTTTTTTTATTATTATTTTTTTTTACTTTGTTTTTAAAACACTGTTTTATTGATATCTGAAAATTTACTTCTTAAGAGAAAGAATGGGTATGATTAGATCAGAACACATACGAGATTTTAAAGTTTTTCTTTTATATACTTACCATTTTAGCTCAAAACGTGAGAAAAATATATTAAAAAGGAATTTCTAATTTTCTGAAGTCTTTTTAGGCAGGTGCTATTTCTGAGAACAGGGAATCAATCTGAGGTAAGACATAGGCATCTGAATTTTGAAAAAGCTTCTCTGATAATTCCAACGTGCAAATCTGATAATCATCACTTTAAAAGATAGAAATAAAATGCTTCCTGAGGGACAAAATCTTTTCCTTTAAAGAGAAAATATATCCAAATGTTCCTATCTTTCTTTCAATTCTTGTAAACTGTATACTCTGTCATATAAAAATAGATCCTTGGATTTTGCAGATTTAGCCACATGCTGTTCCCACTATTCTGAGCAATCTTTGAAGAGACAGCAAGATGCAGTTCTGCTAAGCCTAACTTGCAGACATGTATTGAAAGCCTTAGACAGTGAGTCAAGCCAGGCAACTAGGCAAACCTATAACTCAATGTGGCTTACTGTTCAGTCAACTTACTATGTCTCTATTGTAATAATGCACAAAATAACACAGCTAGAACTGAGCTTTCCAAATCATAAGCGCCTCAATACTTGTAGGCTGCAAATGATTGTCAGACTTAGGCATCCTCTGGGTCCTCAGGCAGCTAGGCCAGTGGCCCATGGTGCTAACAGCTCTCTCAGTGTAATCTGTATACTGCCATGTAACATGAAAATGTTACTTTCTTCAGTGTGAACAACTGGAATGGGCTGGAAAGCACTGTGCCAGATAAACTGTGTGTGTGTAAGTAAGAGTAACAGAAGTCAACTGCTAATCCAGGTACTGGAAATAAAAGAAACTTACAGTTCTGATATGAAAATAGTTCTAGATTAACTAAAAAATGGAATGCTATGTTTGGGGAAATTGAACAATAGAACGACATTTCTGGCAAAGCTTGAATCCAGGGCATAAAGGGGTCCACTATACCAAGTCTACTGAAGAAAATTATACAGAATTCACAGACCTGGAGATTCAGCAAAGTCTAGGAACATTTATGTCCAGTCCATATATGCCATGGGCTTATCATACATATAATTCATTTAGATTATCAAGAACTATAATTAATCTAGTAACATGCTTTTCAAACTCAAGGACTGATAACCTATACTTTGAAAAGATAGCTATCTTTACAAAATCTAATCAGAAATGTGATCTAATACCTTTTCCTGGATAGTCTTAGCTTAGTCTTAAGATTGCTAAATATATATTACTTAATTTCTATTTGTGACATAAATTGGTTCTAGCCAACAAACCAATTTAATTAACGTTATATTCAATAGTCTGCATCTCTAGTCACATTTATTCATAGATATTTAATTTATATGTTTACTGTACACACCGTAATGGAAATCTGAATAAGAGAAAAATCGATCACAACACCAACATAATACATTTTCATTTTTTTAGTTTCTTCTGTTATTGTTCAAATACAGATACTTTTAAAATACAATTACCAATATCAAAAAGTATTTTATATTTTTTTTTGCTCTCAAAGTACTTCCCACCTCCTCCAACTTTGCTACTTGGTTTTCACAATTTTAAATGTATATTCTCTTGGACAATGTCATTATAATTTACTTCCACTAAGTGAACTGATATTTCCACCTTTCCCATTACAGACAGTACTAAAATAAAGGTACACTACTTTCTTCTTTTGAATTATTTCTGTAGACTAAATTTTAAAGAGCATTTTTTACACTACCAACATAACCTTTGAAAATAAAACAGCAGTAATGATGAATAACAATGATGTCACTATAAACAATTATTCATGAAGATAAAAATAAAAATAAAGTTTACTGTTGCTCTCGTAAGATTGAGGACAGTTAAAACCATTACAATCAGTTCTCTATATTCTCAGACTCCACATTTGAAGACTCAACTGAAAATATTTGGAAAAAAAATTTCCAGAAAGTTCCATAAAGCAAAACTTGAATTTGCTGCACTGGCAACTATTTATGTAGCATTTTACAGTGTATTAGGTATTATAAGTAATTTAGAGATGACAATGTATACGGGAGGATGTGTGTAGGTTATATGCAAATACTATACCCTTAGATAAGGGATGTGAGCATATTTGGATTCTGATATCTGTGGGAGGTCCTGGACTATTCCCTGGGGATACCAAGGGACAACTGTACTATCAGATACTGGTCCACGGTTTTGTTGATCCATAAGATTAAACTGCAATATGTATATTTTATTTTACACACAATTCTAATAAGCTCTTTCCTTAAAGATCCACAAATCTTTTTTAACATATATCACCTATTATGAGAATGAATGTATTTTTAAGTGAGTAAATATATCACCATCTTGAAAATCATTAGTTTTACAATGTACTCTACATATACTAAAAATAATGTAGAAGGAATGAAAGTCTTTTGCAAATCACATTTTCACCTCCTAATGAAATGAATGACTCAGGCAATTATTACCAATCTGTTAAAAACATTTAGGTGGATGAACTGAAAAGGAACTGGATAGTCCCATGTGCCACTGCTATCGCTCAGATTACTTTCTGGTCTTCAGAAAAACAAAACTTTACAATGGAGAAAACAGGATGTCAATTGCCCTCATCAAGCCGTCAATCTTAACATTGCTATCAGAACCACCAGAAACTGTATGTCTTCTAATGGGATGCACAGCATCATCTCGGATGCATGAGAGTAAAAGCTGAATTTGAATATAATTTATATTTTAGATCTAACTTGGGAGTTTATAGGAAATATGGGGACAAAGGAACAAACTAAATCCCACCATGAGGATGTGATCAGAGAGAGCTATGAGATGAGACTGTCAACAGAACAATTAGCTTGGTCTCTCTGTCAAATCTATGTCACCTAAAAATTGTTTTCTGTTAAAAGAGGAGTAAGAGACATGGCAGCAAAACGCAATGTGTGGTCCTGGGCTGAATCCTGGTTTGGATAAACCAGTTATTCTGTTATTTTTAGGGCACTTAGGGAAATCTGAGTATAGACTGCTATGATGTTTATAATCTATCTTAGTATACTTTTGTATTTAAAAAAAAAGAAAAGAAATACAAAGATAAGTGAAGAAGATAGAAAAATAAAATTATATTAAATTTAAAATTCTTCCAAAATGTCTGTAACATTTTATCATCAAAGTTGTTGTTTTTCTTTATCCTCAACTAAGACTTTAAATAGAGTATCTCTAATTTCAAAGGATGTACTAACTTACCCCTGGCATATATTCCATAAATATGGAAAGTGTTTTTTCTTGGGGATCCCTCAAACAGCCATAATACTGAACAATTCGCTCATGCAGCAAGTTTTTCAACAACTGAATTTCACACTCAAGTGCATTTACTTCCTGAAAGACAGAACTCACTGTTAAGTCTTTATAGCATTGCTAGTAAAAGCAAAAAAAAATTCAAACATCATGGACCATCAAGGTGATTTCATTCTGAAATTTGCACTTCCCAAAGAATAAACATTTTAAAGTCTCTAAGCAATAATTAGGTAACAGTCCTTGATGGTATGCTAAACCAACACTAAATCAGATTAGGAATACAACTGAGTATTAAAACAGAAAATCCAGAGTATACAGTAAATAAACATATCTATTACCTATTTTTTTCAAATAATTTGCATTGAGGAAAAACAAAAAAATTCTATGGTGTGTTGTATTTATTTTAGTTAAAATGGTTCTTATAACGTGACAAAGTAGCTTGTTCAGTGATTCTTACCTTGCTGGTCTCAGGACTATCTGGGTCAAACTGAACTTGCTTAACAGCCAATTCTCTTCCTGTATCAACATCGTAACAGAGGTAGACCCTGCCAAAGGCTCCCTGGCCAAGTAATTTGCCCAATCTCCAGTTGGTTGGAGCACGAGGTGCTAAAAAAGAACATTTTCTTAAAATGGGAGTAGCCCAATGGCATACAATGGTTAAGGACTATAGCACTGGTGATATCTTTAATTGAATATGCTTGGATATTAAGAGAAAATCATCATCCAAATTCATAATGATCATCATCTTTGAAACTGTAAGAATTCTAAATTCAAACACGGTTCAGATTCCTATGACTAATTTTTTCCAATGAGATTTTTTTTACCTGATTATAAATATAATAGCATCTTTCACTCAATATAAAATGTCACTGATTATGTAAGATGCACTATTTCTAATCTTTATTGCAGTAATATCTGTAATAAGTTTTTCCATCTGCCTACTCTGTAGAAAGCTGGAAGACCATCGCTCTCATTCTAATACGAGGAAATCTTTAAAACAGCCAGTGGGAGAAAAAAAGCACATTACATACAAGGGAACAAAGGTAAGAAATACAGCAGAATTCTCAGAAAGTATACAAGCCAGAAGACAATGGAGAAACAGTTTTAAAGTGCTGAAAGAAAAAAATTAAAATGTCCAGAATTCTATACCCAGAAAAATGTGTGTATCTTTCAAAAATAAAGAAATAAAAGTTTTTCAGACAAAAGCTGAAAGAATTTGTTACCAGTAGACTCATATTAGAAGAAAAGGTTAAAAACAATCCTTCAGGCAAAAGGGATATGATACCTAATGAAACCTGGATTGACATAAATAAAGATCTGTAGAAATAAGCTGGAGATATATATATAAAAGACATTCATCTCTTATTTTAATCACTTTAAAATATAGTTGTCTAAACCAAAAATAGCAGCAATGTAATGCAAGTTGCAGGTGTAAAAGTAAAATATGACAACACTGGTACAAAAGCAAGGAATTCAGAGTGTACAAATATTGTTGCAAAAAAATATCCTTGAGCATAAATCTTTTATACATTGCTTACAAGATAAAGGTCACATATTTCACAATCTGGCCTCAGTTACCATTCTAGTTCTATTTCCATTGCTTCAAGTAAGATATCCTCCACCTCACCAAAAGAGAACTGTTTCTCATTTTCAGAATATGTCATGTGTGCGTAGTCAGTCAGCTGTGTCCAACTCTCTGAGACCCCACGGACCGCAGCCCACTGGGCCCCTCTGTCCATGGGGATTCTCCAGGCAAGAATACTTGAGTGGGTTGCCCTGCCCTCCTCCAGGGCATCTTCCCGACCCAGGGATGGAACCCAGGTCTCCCACATTGCAGGTGGATTCTTTACCATCTGAGCCACCAGGGAAGCCCAAGAATACTGGAAAGGGTAGCCTATCCCTTCTCCAGGGGATCTTCCCAACCCAGGAATTGAACCAGGGCCTTCTGCATCGCAGGTGGATTCTTTACCAGCTGAGCCACCAGGGAAGCCCAGAATATGTCACGGCCTCCTGTATATGTCACCTATTTAATCGGTGAATTCCTCCTCACATTAAAGGTCTTGACTAGACACTATACCATAATTATTTCTCCACACATCATTCTCCCCATTAGATTACATCTTGGAGGTCGTATCTAAAGTTTCTCAGAGCTAAGCATTCAGTAAGGATATGTGGAATGAATGAATGAGTAACTGGTAACAATTTTCCTAATAAAAGCAAAAGACAGTAAATCATTTAAAGTGATTAGCAGTAATACCATGCTTTTACTCAACATTATAAACATTGTTAGAAATACCATTTTTACCTCCTTTGAAAACCTGATTTCACCCTGAGGACTGGCTTCATTATATTTACTCCTATTAATATTATAAAATTCTGCAAAGGTTCTGCCACACACTTCACTATGCCAACTTCTATTACTCACAGCGGCTGGGTGGGCTAATGTCCATCACAGTCAGAGTAGGGTTGTCTATGTCACTTCCCCTCCTTCTTATTCGGCTCTCATCATACTCTGGGGTAAAGATGCTGCTTCCACTACTAGTGCTTAAGGAGTGGTCAGTAGGACTGAAACTCACAGGAGATCGGAAGCTGGTCCCCTGGGTCCTTCTAGCTCTCGGGAAAGTTTTACGACCTACAAAATGAAAACAGAATTACCTTGCAACTTTTAGTGATATATTGTGATTGAAAGTATTTAAAATTTGTAGCATAAGGAACAGAATTTGTTCTGTGACTAGGATAAGAAGCTAAAACAGCAATGATTATTTGATTTTAAATTTTAAACTTAAGAACAGTATTTCTAAGAGTTCAAGGAAATACCCCAGCTAACACTGAATCACGAAAATTAAAAAAAAATAAATAAAAGGTGTAAGCTGAAATGAAAAATGGGGAAAAAAGAAACAGACTCTGAATATAAGTTCAAATAACTTTTGTGTTAACACACTCACCCATTCATAAAAGCACAGACAGAACTCCCTCAGTTTGTATAAAAAGGAGAAAAATGTATTTTATTTTCATTTTCAATAATGATTTAAAATATAAACAAAAACTGTAAAGTTAACAAGAAGTACTCTTTCTCTTTAAAAGGATAATACAAAAAAAAAAAAAGGAGAATACAGTATGCATTTCATCACTAAGGGAGTAATTTTTAATTAATACCATTTTAACTACTTTTCTAAGGAAAGACATGTCTCAAGAGGTCAGCTGGCATAAAGCTAAAACACTATTGTAGTTATGATCCAAAGTCTTTTTAAAAAGTTTTAAGTAGAAAACTAAGTCATACAGGAACATTATTATTGTTTGTGAGATTTTTAACAACTGTTGTTGATCTAATAAACTTACCATCATTATAGTCCTGATGGTGATATGAAACATGATACCTTCTTGGATATGTTCCTCCTTTTCCAAATTTTTCAAAGATAGGGTTATCATAGTCTATTAAGACACATAAGAAAGTTATATATTTTAAAAAAATCAAATATTTCTAATCATGAAAAACACATTTACACATTTTTGATTTTTAAAAAAATTTCTCTCTCCCACCCAGCCAAAATATGATTCAATGACATAAATATTTAAACATTTAGAATGTGAACAGTCTAACCTGAAAATTCCTGATGATTATCTGGGTAGCTCTGTGCCCTAGGCATTCGTGATTTTGGGTAGCTCTCTCTAAAAAGTAGAAAAGTCTCATTATTTTAAGAGAAAGTATTTAATATCTTAAATATTAATATCTTAATATTTAAGATATTTTTTAAAATCTTTATGCAATATCGATATCTGTATGTATGTGTAGATATACAGTTATATATATACACACAAATGTATATATTATATGTATATAATATATACATATATATAATATATACATATACACACACACATACAGCATTCACTCTGAAACAGTAACTGAAAAAAGGAAACTTTTTTCAAACACTTATTTGATACATGCAAACAAAAAGCCTGGCTTTTAAAACTGACCTACAGAGTATAGTGGTTAAGAAAGATACATTTTGGCATTATGGATACATGTAAACACCTGTGTTTCAATCCTAGCTCTTCCTCTTAAACTAGTTATTGCAACCCTGGCAAATCATCTTTCTGAAAAGATTTCCACATTTGTAACAAGGAGATAATACTAACTCAGCAATTTTATACTTGTCTATCTCAGGACACTGTCCTTCAGATATTAAGTAGTCAATATGTAGCTTTCACATCATCATTCCCTTGAAGTCCTTAAATGTTTTAAGTATCTATCTTGAGACAGACATGGGCACAGACAATATATATGGTTTCATATATATATGAATAATAGAAAATTAAATGCATATTTCCATACAATAGTAGTTACACTTTCAGAAGCTGCTTTCAAAAGCAGCCTCAGAGGAGAATAAATAGGCACTGACTTTGCATGCTGCCGGTGAGACTGTCCTGAGACCAGGAGACAGGGAGCACTTGCTACAAAAGTTCCAGATGCAGCTTGACCGTGCTTACACTCCTGAACAGCAGTGCATTTCCCACAAAAAGCACTTAAGTTATAACTGACAGCCAAAACTGGGACACAGTTACCAAGAATGTACAGTACTTATAATTTGGTACCAGAGTAAAAATAATCCTGAACAAGAGAAATGAAAGAATCTCCAAAATTAAACCTATTATGAAAAATCTGACAGCAGTTTCACCAACACAGGTTTAAAAGTAAACATACATAAACTCTAAGTTTGCTTTTAGTTTCAAACACAATTTACCAAGCAGGAAACTCAAAATATTATAATCAGAAATCATTTTAAGTAAAACAGATACTGAGCCCGATGACTGGAAAAACCAATTTGCCATTAAGTATACATGAATATGAACTACATTCCTCTGAATGTAGCACAAAATTTGAGTTGACAATTCAACATGCTATTAATACATATGCATATTTACCCACATATATTAAAAAACAAAAACTACAATCAACATTACCCATCCAGAGGGCTATCAAGTGATGGACAGCTTCCTGAGCCAGAATTTTCAGGGCTGCTTAAAGATAATGGGTCCAGCATCTAGAAAAATAAAAAGTCCACCTTGATTCTACATGAATATAACTGAAGTTACTGTTTTTTAAAAAACAGCTTTGTTGAGATACAATTCATGTATCATAAAACTCGCCCATTTTATTAAAGCATATAGTGCAATTCAGTGGTTAATAGCAGAACGTATAACTCTCACCCAAATCGCAGAACACTTTCAGTACCCAAAAAAGAAACTCCATATCCAATAGCAGCCACCCTATTTAAATGTTTTAAAAGTAGTTGTCTCCTAGAGGGGGGCTACAACTGCAAAATTTCCTAATAGAAAAATAGGAATTTTCTTTATCTTCTGCTCTGGATTATCATCTAAATAATAAAAAGCTAAACACTTCACATAATTTTGTTTACTGAAAACTGAGCAGCACCACCCAAACTGAAATAAATGACACCATGACTGCTACATTATTAGAAAATGTAAACTCCTGTAATAATATAAGCAGCCAATGTAATGATAAGAAAACAATAGCAACTCCATAAAAATACTTCAATACTACAAAACTTTAAAAAAACATTTTAAGGGCTTCCATGTGGTCCAGTGGTTAAGAATCCACCTGCCAATGCAGAAGACAGGGGTTTGATCTCTGGTCCAGAAAGATCCCACAGGCTGCAGGGCAACTCAGCTCATGCGCTACAACTATGAAATCCAAAATCTACAGAGCCTGCGTACCACAACTACAGAAGCATGCGTGCTCTAGAGCCCGTGCTCTGCAACGAGAGAAGCCACGGCAATGGGAAGCCCATGCACCACAACAAAGCAGAGCCCCTGCCAGCAGCAACTAGAGAAAGTCTGCGGCAACTCAGACCCAGTACAGCCAAAAACAGACATAAATTAAAAAACAAATCTTTTTTAAAAAGATTAAAAGAATTTTTTTAATGTTTTAGAAAGTAGACAAACCTCAGCTTCACAAAGTTAAATATTTATTAAATTGAATGTTAATATCAGGATTATAAACAAATGCATTTATGAACATAAGAAAATCAGCCTTAAACCACCTTTCTTTATATATGAGTGCACACAGACACATATAAATTTGTCACATGGGTATTTTCCTGTATTTCCACTATTTTGTTCACTTAAAAAGGAAGATATGGGACTGGAGAAGAGGTAAAACAAATACCTTCCTCCATATACTTGCCAAACCACACTATCCCTGACAACATCCCTTTAAATGAAATGAAAAACAACATTCAAATTTTGCTTACTTGGTCCATGCTCTCTGGAATGAACTCTCCTTCACTGTTGATACTGGTAAATGACCCATTCCGGGCAACCTGGTTTAATTCATCTGGAATGTATCCAGGGGGAGGGGAGCTTCTATCTCTACTAGTGGGACCTCAAAAGAGAAAAATTATAGATTTTATAAATTCTAGCAGGGGACTAATTCTTATTTTAATTAAATATACACTCAGAACTTCTGGACTATAGTACTAATGATTTTAGCAACTGATATCCAGTTTTAATTAAAACTTACCATAGCACTCATGTCTGTAAAACTTCAAATGTTTTTTTACTCTTTTCTAAACTCACACCTTAATGTAATATTCATTTACAGTCGTTAGATAGTATGTTCTTCTGCCTGCTGACAACTGCATTATGAGGTTGATAATACAAGGAAAAAAAAAAAAGTTGTTCAGTCATATCTGACTCTTTGCAACCCCATTATATAGTCTGCCAGGCTCCTCTGTATAAGGAATTCTCCAGGCAATAATATTGGAGTGAGTAGCCATTCCAGGGGATCTTATATTTTTATATAAATGCCACTGCTTCTTCATTTCCAAAGGTCACTTGTTACCCTTTAATGTAACTTATGAAAGGCATCATGATCTAGTGGAAAGTATATGAACTTCACAGTCCAACCTCGGTTTAAATTCCAGTTCCAGTTATTTACCAGCTCTGTCTTTGGGAAAGCTATCTAATCTCCATGAACCTGTTTCCTCATCTGTAAACATGGGACTAAATCTCCTTTGCAAGGGTGTTGTTGTGATGGCAAAATTATTCATAATGAACATATGCTGTGCACATTTGTCTACACGATGTTCTTTGCACTGCCTCTCTTTAATCTTCAGAAATCTAAAGTGAGATTTACTTCTTAGTCATTTAGCCAATATTAGAATGTTTCCAATTTGGAATGCTGGATTTTATCCTTGGATATTTAAAATTAGGCTTTTGGTGGTAAGCCATATTCCTGGAATTTAAATTTCTTCATAGTTTAGAGAATTAGAGACACTAAAATAGTTCATCTCATTGTGTTATGTTTATTAACATAGTTTCTGTGCTTTCCTCCTAATTTATTGAAAGTAAACAAAAAAAAAAGATTTGAGGAAGTTATGTGAGCATTTGCATTCTGGTCAGATTTCAAGCAAAAAAGGCTCTTGCCTCATGTAAAGGGGTTGCTGTAAACACAAGTTGGCATTTGTTAGTGAGGAGATAGGGATAAACAGAACAAAATGATTACCAAGAAATATGCATAAAAAAGATAATTTTCTACACTTGATTCTAAAATTATTAGGAACCTCTGAGCCAGGAACTGATTTGGACTTTGTAACAACTATGATCACAATGTCCCTAAAGTTTTTATTCCTTCCATAAGCCCTTATTTACAAAAGAAGATAAATACACTCATTATTCAAAGCACATAGGGAAGAAAAAAGGCTCTGAAAATTTATCTTCTTACTTGATAACCTATTTTTTTTGAACCTTTGTTAGTACTGGATATTTTAATGGTCGAGACCTCCACACCAGCATATACCCCTGTCCCAAAGGAAGTTCTTCCTCTGTCTTTTGTGAAAATAATTAAAGGAAATAATTTTCAATAAATACAGGGAAAAGATAATGGTCATACCTATCAAAGCCATTTCAAGCTTAAAGAGGTGCCAAGAAAAGACTAGTAATTTTATACCTTACAATTTCTGTTTCTTTTTGTGCTGGCACTGAAGTCAAATAAGAATATTTATTAGTAGAGTAAAAGGGAGGCATTCAGCACAGTTTTAAATGAAAATGAATTAAAACTGCCAATTTAACTAATGTATTTAGCTTGTTCTATCTAACACAACTAAGGTGAACTGGCATTTTTTTTTTGCTTTAAAATGATAGGTACTATATTGATAAGAAAAGGGAATACAGAAAGAAATCAATGATTAATAACAGTTATGGTTTCTAGTTTGAAAAGCTAAATGTACCTTAAAGTGTTCTCTCAACTGCTTGCTGCAATAATCCCATGATTTAAAGATGAGGACAATGTTACTGGTCGCTGGTTAATTAGAGAGCTAGAATTTGAACTCAGATACTTCTAATATTCTTTTATCAAAAATTTAAATTATATAAAAATATATACAAATGAAGATAAGCAACTATTATTATTTTACTTGTATATTATCTCTGCTGCTCATATTTCTAACACTTTGGAAACCCAAAGTAAGACTTAACATAAGACAGACACTTAGAAGGAAGGATACAGTCCTTCGCTGATGGCTCAGATGGTAAGGAGCCCGTCTACAATGTAGGAGACTCAGGTTTGATCCCTGGGCCGGGAAGATCCCCTGGAGAAGGGAATGACTACCCATCCTAGTATTCTTGCCTAGAGAACTGCATGGACAGAGGAGTCTGGCAGGGTACAGTGCATGGGGCTGTGAAGAGTCAGACATGACTGAGCATGCATGCTGCAGCAAGTCATAAATAGTTTGGGGACCAAGACAGAAGGTGAGCAACAAATTCATAAATTTTTTGATTTGTTCACATACCAATTTAATCTTTTATTTCATTATTAACAATCCTCTTCTATTACCAGTCTTAGATTCCCTTCCACTTTCTCCCTATTCATGTTTTCATCTCCTTCTACCTTCCTTCTTTAAATCCATCTCTCATATTTTCTTGCTACCTTTAATGCCCATATTCATTGCCCTATCTGTTAAAAACATATATACCAATGTTTTTTGAGCAATATAATGTTTTTCTCATATAAAAATGTAGAATATCAATGTTTTATACAATCTGAAGAAGATACACAGAACTGGTAAGTTCAGAGCACCTCTGTCCAGCCTATGTCGCGCTAATAAGCCTCCTTTAAAAAAAATTGTACATAGGATCCATTTTTCTTTTTATCATAAGCTTAATTATAAGTGTATTTTTAATTACTAAATTATAAAACATAATTGGCAAATTATTAGCAATCTTTATTTTGATAGCATTCTTGGCAATAATTAAAACTTAGAGAAAGGCCTATGAACTTATTAGTCCACCATTAACTTTAATATATTGGAATTACTTTTAATTTTTTCGCTTCACTTTATTTTTATAATTAAAACATTTTTTAGGTTTTAATTTGTTAAAAATTAAAATACCCTATGTATATAAAGAAAGGAAATATTTAAACTGGTGACTGCTACTCCTGTTTATACTCGACATAACTTTTCAAGGGACATCAGATACTAGAATGTAGTTAACTGAAATAAACTGCAAGGAGTAAAGAGATAAACTATTTATCAGGATTATGTACAGGTGTTGCCCTACATTAAAGGATGGAGATGAAACTGCGAAATAACCCATTTCATGATTTAGACACTAGCTTTCTTACCTACTACAGAAAGTCCTTTTTTCCTCTCTGCTCCAAATACTGTGTTATCCAAATCTTCTAGTGATGGCAATGGCTCTAAATTAGTAGCCTAAAGAGAAAAAAGGAAGATTAATGCTATTTTCTCCTTTAGGGTTTTAATCAGACTCCTTCCCCTATCAAATACAACCCAAGTATTCTCTCTCTGGGTCTTAGCAAACTTACTCTTTGAAATTTTAATTCTAATGTAGTTCTTCCCAGGTTCTCACTTGCTATTAACATCATATGTACAGTATATTATACTTATTTGTAATTTTGGCTATATAGTTTTGAGGAGCAAGGATATTGAACTGTAGCAATTACAATGTGTAAGTTTAAATTTAATCATATTGAAAATATATCAATGATTATAGAATATAACTATGTTTCATATATTGACTTCTTACAGGCATATATCCTAGAATCCTCACTGAAAAGAATCCCAGTTCATACCTGTGCACTTCCATTTATTACAAGTAATATTTTGAGGCTCTTCATATGAATACTACGATCCAGCAGTTCCACAGCCTTGTCCAAGTCATCTTGGGTGGTTAATGGAATTACCAACTAAACAAAAAGGAACATAAGGAATTGTGTAGCCATCTCATCAGGTCAAGTACTTACAGGAGTATCTCCATTACTATGGAATTATAAATCTCAAAATACATTGCTCTTTGATTTGTCAGTATAATGAAATTCTGAATGAATATATGTATCTAGGTTTTTTCTTCTCATCCTACCATCACTGAAATCATAAAATGAATATGAATAAATTTTTTGCTTTATTATACATTAAATTTTTCTGGAAAACATATTTAAAGATCAATTTTCTAGGATGTTTCCATAATATCATTAAACTTAAGTTATAGTCTCTTCACCTCAAAACAGCATTCAGGAACATATATAAAACCTATATAAAGTATTATCTTTCACCTGCATTGATGAAATTTTTATTTTTTTAAAAATAATAACCAGAGATATGCATTCTCACTAGTGTACTTACCAACATATAAAATACAAATGCGCATTGGTGACAGATGCCATGGGTTGGGGGGGGTGCCACCAGTAATGTACCTGCAATCTACAGTCCACCTTGCACTCCTATCTCTGACCATGGCAACTTGAACATTCCATCTAAACCAAGTAAGCTACATAGGTGAGCCATCCTACAATAAGCCCTGAATGCTGAAATCTGCTTTCATTAGTCCTCTTATGGATCAGATGTGATAAGGGACAGAAGCACCTAAACAGTCTGTGAGGGAAAAGCAAGATTCATTCTACCTAACAAAATACTTGTTTTAAAAGTAAATTTACTAGCTTAAGACAACTCTGCCAATAATCTTCAAAGTACGTTCCATTTCATTAAAAGGACAGAATAAAAACAAGCGAACATATTTCACACTTGTGAGCCTGCACTCACACACACAGTATTACAGGCCATTCAAATGTAAAGGCCCAGTGAACTAGTTAAGCGTCTTGTACAGTATAAACACCTAGCAGACAAGGATTTCCCCTAAACTAGCAACGAAGGCAGGGCACAGCAAGAAACAAATTCTTGGTAAATACTGTTTAATAAATATCATAGGGTAAAAGCTTCATCTGTACTCAAACCCACTAGGTGACATGGTGTGAACTCATTCTCTGTAGATTTCTTTTATGAAAACTATTCCTTGTTTAAGAAAGGCTGCCAGACACAAACACAAAGCAGGACAAATGTGAATTACATCATACAATGTGCTTACCCTCACTCAGTACTTGAAATTATATTCCCAATTTCTGTTCATAGCAAATTTTATACTGTTACAACTTATCTACTAACAGGCCCTTTTATCCTCTGAGAATTTTTTTCTAAAACAAAAACAACAGAACATGAACTGATATCAAAAAACAAGTCTGATCTACTTAATTAAATTCCTTTCATTTTTCTATCAATCATGAACCCTTTGTTCCCATCTTTAATAGCTTTTAAATTATATTTTAAACACTAGAAAACATTTTAAAGCAATGTTAAGGATTGTTTGGCCAATTTTTCACTTAAGGAGAAAACCTGAATATTTACTTTAACTACACATTATTTATAATTGGATTGTTTACTCCTCCAAGGAAAAGACACTAGTTTAAATCACAGTAATAAAATATTAACATAAATGATTCTGCAGCTTGCTAGAGTGAAATCTGGACATTCTGGAGGAGCCTGGAGTGGCATCCTGGTCTACAGCTCTAATGTAACTCTCTCATATGTGCTAAGGGCACCTGTTACAAATTTTACAACAAAAACTAGAAGTCAAGAACAAGTTTCACCTTGTCTAAATTATACTAAATAAGTCACCCAATATTTTCCTGTTTGGTGAATTCATTTCAGTCTCATTCATAAAATCTATTTCCCTCAGGCTTATTACTGGTAAATCAGTTGTATGTTAATAAAAATAATTTCTGGAAAGGAAACTAAAATTGAGCCCAAAACCTCATTAAATAGAATGTAAATCTGAAATAAGTGAATTATCTTTTAACTTTACATAGTGAAACATGAAAACTGTTTATAAAAAGGTTCACCCTCTACCCATCTAAAATGGGGAAAGTCTTAGAAAATCCACTTACTTTGGCCTGCATATCCCTGTCTATGCCCTGTGACAATACATACCTGCCTGACACTTTATAAGATAAAGATCCAATCCCAGCTTATAAAATAAAGATCCAATCCCAGCTTAAATTTCTTTGTTTCAATTCTGGTAAACCAAAATAATTATTTTAGAACAGAGGATTTTGTATTATACAGAAAAAAATATTTATGGAACTGGAATAAAAGCAATATCGATGAATTTTCTGCATGTCTACAGGTCCATAAAACTAATATCTCTTTTAAGTCTTTCCCTAGTACCCCCACTGTCCAAGGACATGCACCAGGCTTGTCACTCTGTTAATCAGAACATGGTTAACTCAAAAAATCACAGGTTCTCACAGAAACTCAGAGTGCTAGGAAAATGTTAAGCAATGTAATGTTGTAGCCTAATGCCTCCTCTACCATACTTTTGCCAAGAGGACATCCAGATATAAACAGCAAAACCACTCTGAGAAATCCTTCAGAAAGCATGAGAAAAAGAAGCTGATATGGAGAAATTTCCTAATTTTTGGAAAATGGGAGCAAGTTGCTAATACCTGGTCAACCAGCTCTACATCAATCCTCAAGAAAACCCTAGAAAATATTATATGCAGGCACCCCCTGCTTTAGAGCACATCACCTATGCTCTTCATAGATACCGTTTTTCCACCAAGAGAAGGTTTGTGGCAACCCTGCCTCGAGTCTACTGGCACCATTTTCCCAACAGCAGTTACTCCCCTGCGTCTCTATGCCACATTCTGGTAATTCTTCCAAATATTTCAAATGTTTTCATTATTATTATAATTGTTATGGTGATCTATGATCAGTGATCTTTGATGTTACTACGGCAAAAGGATTATAATTTGCTGAAGCTTACGATGATGGCTAGCATTTTTAACTATAAAGTATTTTTTAATACCACACACTTAAGAGACTATAACACAAGCATAACTGCACTGGGAAAACAAACAATTCATGTGACTGGTTCTACTGCAACAGTCACTTTATTGTAGAGGTCTAGACCGAACCTGCAGTATCTCCAAGGTATGTCTATAAACAAACTGGGAGAACTCAGAAAAAGAAACAGCAATTTTAAGAGCTCAGACAGGAACAACATGAACAAATCATGCCAAACTAACCTAATTTTTCTTGATAGACATACTAGACTCATAGGTCAAGACAATATTGTAGTCAATGTACCTTGGCATTTGAAGTTTTCCATGACACAATTTTATTTATTTATTTTTCCATGACACAATTTTAGACCAAACAAAACCAAAACAAAGATATATCTGGGATCCCCAGAATCGTACCATGAGATAAAGATTCAAGTATGTTTATAAAAGATACTAGGAAACACTGGTAGGGTAATCGGGAAGACAAGGAAGAGAGGAGGTCCATAAACGGTGTAACATCTAGCAAGTTAGCACAGTGGGCAAGTGGGGTCCATCCATCCCCATCTCCCACCACATCCTTGAGCCTCATATCACCAATCCCCATTCCCTCCCTTATGTACTTCAGCTTATACCCTACAGTCATATCTCTGAGAAGTCCTCAGAATCTCAGGGGCTGGCAGTTGGAAATCAGGCCAGCACAGACACAAATAAGTGCCAAAACAGGGTCAGGCAACAAGAGGTGTTCATAGCTAACCAAAAACCCAAAAAGTATTTGAAAAATGACATTTTAAGGAGTTACTATAGTATGGTACTCATCACTTTGTTCAGAAATATTGTTTGTTTGGATATGGATTTTTACTTATTCAAAATATTTTTCACTTTATAAGTGATATCTTTAGACAAGCCATATTTGCATGTTCTCTTGCTTTAAAATGACAATAATTCATTAGAAAATCTAATATTTCAAATATTTTTATTAGCACAATGCTTTAGCATTTGCAAAGCACTTGCACATCTTCTAATTTTTACTAAACTTCCCACTGTCATTCCATTACCACTGACATTTTTTTCTATTCCTGACACACAAGTCTTTTCCTTCCCAGGATCTCTGCATGCTGTGCTCTCAAGCTGCTCTCTACCATGAATGTTATTCCCCTCAAATTCTTTGTAGAGCTGGCTTTTCATACTTCAAATCTCAACAATTAAATATTATGACCTCATTTAGCTCTTCCTTAAATGGCAACCCACTCCAGTACTCTTGCCTGGAAAATCCCATGGCTGGAGGAGCCTCTTAGGCTACAGTCCATGGGGTCACAAAGAGTCAGACACGACTGAGCAACTTCATTTCACTTAGTACTAACTAAATAAGACATATACTGCCCTTGCCTTTATCCTTTATCATAATATTTTGTGCATTTCCTTCAAAGAATTCATATATTTAAACAATTCAATTATTAACTGTCTACTTCTACCACAAGTCTATAAACTCCATTAGGGGCTGCAATTCATAAATTATAACCATCATGCTTTGCAAATTCAATGGATATTTCTGAGAGGGAAAAGAAAATAAATTAACCAATTAACTAAACTGTCCCTAGAAATTTTTAAATCTCAAGATCTTGACCTGAGATCACAGGATCTGAAAGAAATCTCAGAGATTTCTAACCCAAATTTTACAGAAGGTTCAAAAGGGATTCCCCAGAACACAGAGCTCCTTAGTATCATAGTGAGCCCCTGACTCCCAAACACAAACTAACAATCTAATCACATCCTTACCAGCATGAAAGCAATCTTTTAAGTTTTAACTAAACTGTCCAACTACCAAAGCCCTGTCGTCTCTGTAGAAAAGTATACAGTATGAAAAGGAAAGAGTTCATCAATAAAGAACAAAGAACAAAAATAAAACATAAACAAGCAGCAAACTTCTAAGCAATATACGTATTTCCTCCTTTAACAAATTCTCAATTACTGCATTGCAGCACCTTTCAGTACCTTCCACAATGAAAAAATCCATTTTAATAGTTAAAATTTACTACTGATATCTTATTCCTCTGAAATACTACATTCTTATCGATGCCCAAATAAAAGCACAACCATCTTAAAACAATCTCTTAAATAAACACACTATTTTTCCAAAAAAAAAAAAGAACTATTGAAAGTTAACATGCACATATTTACCTCATTATTGGTATAATGCAGATCCATAGACTGTCCAAAGGCAATTTTAGCTTTAGACCTCAGGTCTTCCAGTTTAACTGGTCTGGGGAACTGAAGGATTCTATGTAAACAGAATTTTAATATATTTTATTTTCTTATGCACAGTTAAATAACTTACTTGTAACAGTTATCTCCTGAATACAGAAATACAAAATCAAGTTATAAGTATTCACTTTACTTAAACATTACAATGGCTCATTTCTGATCAGGTACACTAACATTTTAACACAAAGTTCAAGAACTCCGTAGTCTGTTCTAGCCTAATAAAAATTATAAAAAGGAAATTCTCAAAATACTCCGCAGTTTATAATTTGCACTGCTATTTACAAGAATATTAAAGAATAATGTAAAATGTTCATTTTGGAAAGTGATTAAACTTAACTACGTCATAGCCCTACGATGAAACTGTTAAAAGAATAAAGTTGTTCTTTGGGGATCCAAGTTTTGATTTCTGAACCCTTATCAACTTAATATTTCTGAGTGCACACACACACACACAAACACACGTATCACTTAAGCATCAGTTCAGTTCAGTTCAGTCATACACATCCCCAAATAAATATTTTTAAAGAGTTAAAATTTTTTAATCCTAGAATTTTCTTCTTATTTCACAAAGAATTGACTTGTGTTGCCCCTAGGGACCATGCCTCTAAGCTTGGAGACTATCTACTAGACTGTAAGTTTTGTAACAGGGGGGATCGTGCATATTTCACTTAACTGTATTCCCTTTATAGCTCAGCATATAGTAAGTACTCAATAAACAGTGCTCAATGAACTAAAAAAAAATTGAGAATATATCCATAAAAGTTGTAAACAGGAAAAAGTAGACAGGACAACACTTGTATGATGTATCTGCATTGCCTACTCCCTTCTTTTCTTTAAGTTTACTTATTTACTTACTTTTTAAAGTCCTTATTGAATTTGTTACAATATTGCTTCTGTTTATGCTTTGTTTTTTTGGCCCTAAGGCATGTAGGATCTTAGCTCCCTGGCCAGGGATCAAATCCACAGTCTCTGCATTCAAAGTGCAGTCTTAACCACTGGACCGCCAGGGAAGACTCTCCATCTCTTTTTTTTAAAAAAAAAAATCTCTATGTAAAACATTTTTACATCTTCAGGTTATATGATCTGTGAGCTTTTTAAAATCCTTAAGATGGATAGATCTTTCATTAAATTAATGACATTAATAATAGAAATAAAATTCTATCTTCTTTAACTTCTATGAGGTCTTATCAGCAATTCTGTTGTCAACCACTACTACAACCATTTCCACCATTCCACTGAGATACAAATACCCAGTTGAAGGGTAGTCTTCTACCTTTGCTAAATAATTTATAGTCACCAGTCCAACACTTTTCTCAATGTTACTAATTAAATACAGGTCAAAGGATTCAAGTTTTTTCAGAATACTCAAAATTGTGAATTGAAGTCCATACACCTAAAATCTGTATAGTATCTGAAGAGATGATAGAATTATAAGGAGAAGAATATTTAATTTCCACTGAGCAAAAAATTTCTCAAATGGTAATATTTAAAGCTGCATTACACAATGACCTTACTTATTTCCTAATACTGCAAAGTAAAAACATGATTCACTTCTGATGCTTAGCCTGAAATTTGATAGATTCTATCTTAAGTACAAGTACACATTACAGTTACCAACAAGGACTATTTCATTCTCAATTTATAAGCCACGAGGACCGACATTAAAATCTAAAAAGAACCTCTAATATCTTAAGTAGGACATGCATTTGATTAAATTAATGAACTGACATATAATGCTTCCTTCCTTACCTTTTTTCTCCTCTGTGTTCAAATTTGACTCGGACATCATTCTGTAATGAAATGATAAGTGATGCCAGAGATCAGATAAAATTCCCAGAATTTCTAAATCACTTTTCTTTTTAGTCACTCATTTAAGATAGAGCAGAGGGGGAAGGAGGTTTCAATCAGTGTCAACTCCAATCAACTGACAGTTTCTACCGAAGAGCTGAGTTGAGAGAATTAGGTGGCTTAATCTGGGCTCAACAGGAAAGAGCACCAAGATCTATTAGTGATGGCATCCCCAGTATGAGACATTTACTAATTCTGTTAAAGGGCAATACAGAATGCTATATTTCCACTTGTTATGTTAGATGTTCCAAATAAATTTCAGGTATAAGAACAAAAATTATTTTCATCTGTAAATACAGAGAATAGTCAATTATTTAAATAAAAGCTATTTGCTTGTGTTACATGCCTTAGGAATTGGATGAGATTATCTACTCTAGCGAGAAGATACCACAAATGAAACTATCATTTAAAAAAAAAAAAACTGACACCCTTACAGAAAAGTCTATGACAAACAACAAAATACTTGATTCAAAAGTATAAAAGCTAATCACTTCAAACAAATCCTCTATACAATTAGGATATTCAAAGAAAATAATTCACAGAACTATATACTTATTAAAATATTATTGAGACAAATACCTGCTTTTTTGGTGATGAGGATTTTGTTTTTCTGGTTTCCTGTAAGGATAATGCTGGTCGACTGGCCTTATGCAGAACAGCCAAATCTTGCATGATTGAGTTCAAAGCTTGCTGATCATCTAGGTATTTGTAAAATAAAACATACACAGAACTGTGATTTCAATATGTATTTATCATAGACATCAATACAAAATTTACAATAAAATTTAATGCATCTAGAACACTTTCAAGGCCTGCATTTGTTATTTTGGTGAAAGAAAAGCTTAGTTACTTAAAAACTGAACATAAGTAACATTAAAACTGCACTATATCAAGTGCCTGCCTCACACTAGGTGTTCACACAAGACATTTATTAGGCAAGTACAGTCGTTCTGACTCTTCTCCTGATGTAATATCCTAGGATATGGGTCAAAACAACCCTATCATAACAAATTCTTTTCTATGACTCCTAAACAAAACATCAACAAGACATCTAAAATCTTAATTAAAACAAGTGGGGGAAAAATAAACACCTTTCTCTAAATACCATCATTATTTAGCATTTATGTTTAAAATACAGAATTCATTTCAGAGCTTTTCTCTTTCATCAGTACTTCAAGTCAGGAACAAAGAAAAGCTGTATCTATAGATAAAGGCCTACTGATATTTGGATGTGGTTTTGTTGAATATCTTCACCATAAGGTTCAACAAGACTACATTAACAGACTAATACCTCAACCACTAACAACTTAAAAGGTATCAATGCAAGAAAAATTCACCTCTTAGAAAAAAGTACCGAATCCATAAAACTGAAATGATCATGAATCATGAACTTTTAATCTTTTCCAAACATACCAAAGATTTCTTTCTAAGACTATATAAGCATGAACATCCTAGTAATGATAATTATATGACCTCTGGACAATTTAATTGATTTTTCACTAGTAAATCAATTTTACTAATGATAATCAACAATTGGTAAATAAAGGAACTGAGGGACTTTACAGTGTACATTTTACAATGTAACCATTTTGGTAACAATAATTTATGTTCCAGAGCAATAGTAATTAAAATACGCTTTATCCTATAAAGGGCGATTATTAAAAAAGAATTTGGCAAGTCAATGGCTTTATCAGTCTTTTGAACACACATACAGCTTATTTCTCTAACATTTAATTTTTTTACAACACTCAATATATTCTGTTCTATAGTGAAACTACTTGCATACTAAAATTCAAATTATGGCTCCAAAGGTTTTGTTAACAAATTCCAGGTCCAGAGAAAATTTTAATTCTTCAAAAAGTATTATTTGAAATAAAATTTATACATAATATTAGTTTAGCCAAACAGTAACTGAGCCAATGGGTCTAACGTAATTACAACATGTGCACCGTGTAGGGGTCCAAGCCAGATTATGTCATTTATTCCTTAGAAGAAGAATAAGCTGAAAATACTATGAACTGGAATGAAATTATCTGATATAACTTTCTTATGAAAAGTAAGACCTGTAATTCTACACTAGGGAGAGGAAAACTTTTAATACTTTCATGTATCTATGTCCTAATTATTTTCTTCTTTAAGCATGTGAACTTAGGCATTTTCACAATATTTCATATTCAACATTACATGTTTAATATTATAACACCAAAATAAGTTTATAAATAAAAATATATTTTTAAATGTAAAAATAAATTAGAAAAAAAACACCAAAATAAATAATATTATAACACCAAAAGCCTTCTTGGGAAGGCTTTGGCTTAAATCTCTTATCATGTTTACATATATTAACTCAGTATATGTAACACATGATTACTCTCTCTATATATATATGTTGAGTATGTATTACATATACTGAGTTTAAAAAAATGAATACCATTTCCCATAGTACATGTAAAAAAGCAGAGAGAGCCATTTGAATAGAAGTAACTTCTCAGGGAGGTGACATACAACTGAAGGGTTACTTAACTGAGTTCCTTCTTTTTTCTGGGTTGAAGGAGAATCAGATGCTACATAAGTACCCAACAGGAAACTTACTTTTGATAAGGTGCAAGCTAACAAATGCCGAAGGATCAAGCAAAGTGGTGAACATACACTACAAGCACTGTTCTAACAATTCTTAGATTATTTTACTCTATTAAGAATCTCTATGGTGGTTACAGGTGCCAGGAGGATTAGACAGGTTATAAATGTCACAGGATCATGAGTTGATCTATATGGCAGAGAGGATGCTCAGAGGATGCCACAGTCTGACCAAGTCACACAGAAGCAGCAGTGGATTTCTGACACACATTAAGAGGACATTTAGTTGTTGAGCACAAACCCAGAAAATGTTTGGGAGGTAATAATTTAAAATAAAAGATTTATCAGAAATGCTTAATTTATTATCTTTTATAATTCATTATACTTAAAAAAGTATTTATAGGAGAAAATCTTCAATTAAAATTCAAGTATCTGTGATGCATCTTTTTAACTACTCACAGTTTCCTGAAACTACCTTTGTAAATGTTTTTAAGCAATGACTGTTCTTTGCATACTATGGTGACAGCAACAAAAATGAAAAGCTTGTGTGAATTCAATAGAAGTTCCAATTTGGAACTGGAGGTGAAGGTAACAAAAGTGAAGCATTTGGACCACCTGCTGGCAGGGCACTCCTGGTTACAAAAGGAGGAAATGGAAGAGAAATTCAGAAAGTAGGAAGGTGGGGGTTTGCCTACACATTTGCCACAACACACACTGAAAGTGTGTTGGCCCTTCCAGTAAAGAACACGGACAAATTTAAGTTCTTTGGCTCTAATGTCATGTATATACATATAAGAGTGAATAATATCTTTGTTAAGCAAGGGATAGGAAAACTGTGACAAAAACAAACACTGGCAAGTACATGTCAGAATTAAGATATCAGTACAAGATACCGGTCTAAGTTTAAAACCTTATCTTCCAACTGCACCGTCTATTTTCCCATGAGGACAGGACGGGCCATTTGCTCCGTTCCTTTCTAGTTTTCCCTGTCCAATCCCTGCCTCACATTGGAACCTTCAACTCCAAGGAGAAAAGGAGGGGGGAAAAAGTACAGAAGAAAACAAAAAGATATATAAACTTAACCCCCACAATCTATTTCCATACTTTGGCCTTCCTTTCCATTAACATTATGACACCACAGAAAACTCACAAGAGTTGTAAAACATATCCTCCTTGAGCACCAATGATTTTCTCCTTATTCTGTTATAAAGTTTCATGATTCATTATTTTTATGCAGCTATTTTCTTTAGTCTATCTATATTACTACACTGTTGAGTAATTATACAACAATTCATTCCTCAGCATTTACTCAATCTTTAAAAGTCAGGTTTCTTTACCAAGAATTTTATCTAGCCATCAGACTCTAAGAAAATCACAATCCAAAAAAATAAATAAATAAAAAAGAAAATCACAATCCATCTTAACAGTTTATTTTGAATGTCCACATCACGTCTTGCACAAATTGGTTATCCTAAAACTGTAAAAGTCAACACAGTAAGTGCTTTAACTGAAAATCTATTAAGTAAATAAATGTAAAACATTATATAAATCTACTAAATCATAAGATTTCTTCCTAAGAAGCTCATCATACACACAGAAAAAGTCTCTACTCCATATTATCCTTTAATTATAGATGAAAAATGCTTTTAGTTGGAACTCACCCATCATGGCAATCAGCTTGACTACTTGGAAACTAGGGAAATGGTTCTCCCATCAGCATTCTCTGTGGCCTAAGGAGGTAAAAAATGAGCACAGTAATAGTAAGAAGAAAGAGATGAAGGAGCCATAAAAAGAAAAAAATCAGTATAAGTAACACTAATGAGAATGTACAATATTAATATTTTACACATTTTTATGGGGAAAGTGCCTTATTCTTCCCAGATATTCAATTATTGAGAATTGAATGAACTAAAAATCATTATTACTTTATATTAAATTTATTTCAGTATTTTTCAGATCCTTGTCTATCTAAACTAAAGCAAAACAGAATGGAACAATTTTTGACAGTTAAAAAGCTTAAGAGATAATTGAATAAACTCAAGCTCCCACAAGAAGGGGCACATAAAGATGAATGGAAAAGGTCATGTTTAGAGACAAAAAGGAGGACATCAACAAAGTAGTAAAAGCCTACAAAAATTCTCTCCTCCATAAAAGAAAAATTATCAGAATCAACACAAAGGAATTAACCAAAAGTTTGCAGCCATCTGGGAAGCATTCTGCAGTCTCAATAAAAAGAGACCTTCCCTATTCTTACCTTTCCACCCTTTACTCCCAGCTCCAAATTAGCAATTTAAACCAACAAGCCCAGAGAGTTCCCTGACAGTCCAGTGGTTAAGACTCTGCACTTGCAATGCAGGGGTGCAGGTTTGATCCCTGGTCAGGTAACTAAGGAGATTCCTAGGTGGCACAGTGGTAAAGAATCCGCTTGCCAAAGCAGGAGACATCAAGAGATGCAGGTTTGATCCCTGCACTGGGAAGATCCCTTGGAATAGGAAATGGCAACCCACTCCAGTATTCTTGTCTGGAAAATTCTATGAACAGAGAAGCCTGGCGGGCTATAGTCATGGGGTCACAAAGAGTCAGATACAGCAGAGCGCGCACACACAACTGGTAACTAAGACCCCACATGCTAGAACGTGGCCTAAAACAAAACCCAACAAGCCCAAAGTCCCCATGAAAATTAGCAGCCTGGCCGCCAATGGAGAAGGCAGGATGGATTCCCCCAAAGCTACCATACTTGACCTGTCTAATGGCTTGCTGAGGGACCCCATTTGAAAGGCTGCCTTTATTTAACCGGACTTAAAGCTTTTCCAATGCAAAGAGCTTGGAGTATTTACTGAAAATCAATCAAGGACAACTGTTACAGATCTCACCTGTCAGAGGTTGGGGAAAAAATAGTTGGAGCTGGCAATATATTAAGAAAAAAATTTTCTAGAAAAGCTGAGGAACGAGATGTTGATAGGGAACTCTGAAAATCTCCAACAGATTCCTAGAAATCTAGATGTTATACAAATGTCCAAGGCTGTTGCATAGTCAAGAAAGGCCTAAGAAAATCTTCGGCTTTCACCTCTGGCTACCTTTGAGGCTTTGTGCAGCATTAACTGAAGGATGAGTTAGAACTGAGAAAATGTTAAAGGCCAGCCCCAACACACACACACACACCCCCCTTGAAAGACTGTGAGACTTCAAGGTTCCAAGTATCTAAGGAAATCTCTGTCTAATCATGAGCTGACAACTAAACTAAGAGCAGTCTTCAGTGACCACATACGACAGAATACAGACTTCAAAAAATGAGTTCTCAAACGTCATTAAACAAACAAATTATAACAACAAAAATACAGGGGAGGGAGAAGAACCAGATTTCCAGAGGTGGTGCATTATAATACTTTAAATGTCCAGTTTTCAAGGAAAAAAGACATACAAAGACATTGGTCCATATACAGAAAAAAAGCAATCAACAGAAACTGACCCTGAAGAAGCCCGAAGGGCAGACTAACTAGACCTGTTTCAAAATTCCAGATCCCCAGACAAAAAGCAAGTGTTCAGCATAAACTACATTGTTTGTATAAGAAGTTTAGGCACAGTAAGCCATTCGTGTCAGTTAGGCAGGTGGGAACTCTTCTGAAATCCAAGTTTTCAGATGCCAGCAATGGGCAGGCCTCATAAGCGGTTATTTCAAGGATAAGGAGCAAGGTCTACCTTAACTCATTTCTACACAAGCAACAGGAAGAAATTAATAGATGAGTTTAAAGAAACTGTATAAATCAATAATTATAAGTATGCTGTTCGGTGTATATTATGTAGATATAATTTATATAACGACAATAGCACAACAGACAGACAAGGGATGGATTAGAAGGAAAGTTTTGTATGCCACTATAATTAAGTGGTATTAAACTATACCGTTGTAGGTTGAGATGTTGATTTTAATCCCCAGGTCAACTACTAAAGTATACATTTATTTAAATGGCAAATGAAACAAGAGAATTAAAACAGCACACTAGAAAATATCTATTTAACAAAAAGAAGACACTAATGAAGGAACGAGGAACAAAAAAAGATAAAACACATAGAACACAATTGGCAAAAATGGCAGATGTAATCTTACCTTATGTATAATTATATACATATATATACACACACACATATATATATAAAAGCAGAATGAACAAAGGCAGAAATGAGCAGACCAGGTTAAAAAACTTGACAACTATATACTGTCTACAATAGGCACACTTTAGATTCAGGCACAAAATAGATTAAAAGTAAGACTGTAAAAAACATACCATGCAAACAGTAGCCAAAAGGCTATACTATTAGCATAAAAATATTACAAAATGGTTATTAATGGCAACGAAGGACATCTATAGTGAAAAAATGGCCGACTTATCAACATGACACATAATTATAAACATGTATGCATGGAACAACAGACTCTCAAAATACATGAAAAAAGATATGAAATAATCAATTAAAATAGGACAGTTGGAGATTTCAATGCCTCATTTTCAATAAGGGATAAACAAGTAGACAGAAACATCAATGAGAAAATGAAGATTTAAGTAATGCTATAATATGCTATATAGATAAAATACTGCTATTCAGATATAGGGCGTATCTGTAGTACACTCAACCCCAAAAGAGCAAAATACACATTTTTCTCAAATGCATGTAGAACATTTTAAAGGGCAGATCACATGTTAGGCAATAAAACTTATCTCAGGAAGTATAAAGAGATTTAAGGCATATACCCCAGAGAAAAACATGGTCTGAAAGAATACAAGCACCCAATGTTCACTGCAGCACTGTTTACAACAGCCAAGACACAGAAGCAACCTGAATGTCCATCAACAGAGGACTCGATACAGAAGACATGGTTCATACATACAATGGAATATCACTCAGTCATTGAAAAGAATGAAATAATGCCATTTGCAGCAACATGGATGGACACAGACTGTCATAATGAGTGAAGTCAGACAGAGAAGGTGAGATATCTTATGGCATCCTTTATATGCAGAATCTAAAAAGAAATGATACAAATGAACTTATTTACAAAACAGAAATAGACTCACAGACTTAGAGAACAAACTTATGGTTGCCAGGGGTGAAAAATAGGGGGAAGGAATAGTTAGGGAGTTTTGGATCGACATGTACACACTGCTGCATTTAAAATGGATAACGAACCAGGTCCAAATGAAGAGCACAGGGAAAGTCTGCCCCATGTTATGGGGCAGCCTGGATGGGAGAGGAGTTTGGGGGAGAATGGTACATGTATAGTTGAGTCCCTTTGCTGTCCACCTGAAACTTATAAAATGCTAATCAGCTATAGCAGTGACTGAATGTGTCAGTCGCTTAGTCTTGTCCAATTCTTTGTGACCCCGAGGACTGTTGCCCACCAGTCTCCTCTGTTTATGGAATTCTCCAGGCAAGAAGACTGCAGTGAATAACCATTCCCTTCTCCAAGGGATCTTTCCAACACAGGGATCAAACCCAGGTCTCCTGCATTGCAGGAAGATTCTTTACTGTCTGAGCCATCAGGCAGGCCCTAATTGGCTATACTTCAGAATAAAAGAAAAAGCTTAAAAGACAAGAAATAAGTAAATGAATGTGCAGGAACAACAACAAAAAGACAATGGTAAAACATGATCATAAATATTTATAAAATATCTATTAAAACGAAGTGTTATCAAGCCCTTCCTAACTGTAGAAGTTTATAACTTTGAATATAGAACTTTAGGTAACTATATGCATAAAAGGCAAACCATAAAGCCAAACAGATTTTCCCACCTTTAGGTCAACAGAACAAAAATACAATTGAATAGAAATAAAAGAAAAAAGATATACGATGTATGTTCCCTGACAACATGAAATGAGAAATTGGTAACAGGAAGAAATCTGGGGAATTTACAAACATGAAAATTAAACACACTACTAAAGAACCAATGAGACAAAAAAGAAGTAACATGGAAAATTAGAAAATGCTTTGAAATGAATGAAAATTTTAAAACATCCTGAAAAGTATTGGATGCATCTAAAGTATAATTTAGAGATAAATTTGTAACTGCTGGGAACTCGCTGGTAGTCCAGTGGTTAGGACTCAACACTCTCAATGTTGAGTTCAATCCCTGCTAAGCGAAGCCAGACCCCACAAGCCACACAGCATAACCCTCCCCCCAAAATCAGAACAAATTTACAACTGCTAATGTTTATGTTAAAAAATAAGATAACAAATCAGTAACCTAAACTTCTACCTTAAAAGGTGTAAGAGCATGTTAAATCCAAAGCAGAAGGAAAGAAACAACAGGGATTAGAAATGGAAACAAACCAGAAAATAAAAGCACAAATTTTTAAAATCAATGAAACAAAAAGTTGGTTACATGAAAGGATTAAAAAAAACTGACAAATTTTAAGCTAGATTAACCAAGAAAAAAAAAAGGAGGATTCAAATATCTAAACTCAGGAATTAAAGGAGAATTACTACCAGCCTTACAGAAACAAAAAGGAAAAAGGAATACTATGAATAATTGTACACCAGTGAATAAGACCACCTGGAAGAAATAAAGTGACTGAATCAGAAATTTTAAAGCTTTTCACAAATAAAAAGTCCTAACTCAGACAGATGGCTTCAAACATTTGAGGAAGAATTACCACCAATTATTAATATTTTATTACCCAGTATTACTCTGATAATCAAATCAGACAAAGATATTGTAAGAGAAAACTACAG